GTCAAGACAAGCTGGTAAATCACCTCAGCCTCAACTGGTCGCCCTGTTTGCGTGCTGGAGAAACGAAAAGAGCCCGAATTGGCTCTTCCAGCAAAATAGACACCTTGCAGCCGAGCACCCTGCTGTGTTTCCCGTTGACCCTGAAGTTTCACCTTCCCTCCAGCAATACATGTGCAGAAACAGGTGCACTTTCAAAGTCTGAGGGCAAGCCGGAGCATTGGAGCAACTTTTTGATACGAAACATTCATGTCAAAGATCAAATCAATTATTGAAAGCAGACTCTGACATCTGAAAGGTTGTGGTCCAGGATTTGTTTGAAGAAATGTCTTCCCAATAGATGGTGGCAGTCAACTGCAACAGGTCTTGGATTTCAAGCTAATTTATTCAAAGGGTCACAAAGACGACCTGGTCTGATCCATTATGTTTACTACTCCTTAAATCCAGCACTATAATGGCAAACGTTCAGCAGGTATAGTGTGTATCATGCTTAACATCTGAGGTTAGCATGTTAGCACGCTAATTACCACCAAACACAGTTGAAGCTGATACGATTGACGTTAGTTTGGCAGGTTTCAGGTCGTAAACCAAAGAAATGGACGCGTCTTTGAATGGTGATAGTGTGAGATGAGGAAGAGATCACTGAAGGTTCAAGGATTGTCCCCGACATTAACGTTTGTGCCAGATTTCTTAGCAATGGGTCCATCACAACTAACTCAAAACCACTCGGAAACATAAAAACATTAGCAACAAAAGTCACTTGTATCCATCCGTTGGTTAGTGAGATAGTTCATCCCGGATCAAAGGGTTGTACCGACCAAGTACACGTGGAGTGATGAGTCCCATACCTGTACCAAAGTGTGAGGCAATCCCTTCGCTTTGAACCTGTATCACCAGGGATTACCGCTCAGGTTTGCACAACACAGCCGACAGGAAGTTGTTAAAGACGAGGACCAACTCTGCATCCTGACCTCTGACCCTAACATCCTGACCTCTCCTGCAACCTGACATGATCCCTTGTCTACATGAAAGCTGTCCCGTTGACTCGCCCGGGCTAATTTAGAGTTCCGGTGCCCCCCCAACCAATGTGGAGACAGACAGTCCACATGCTGGCCTCTGGACTTGTGGAGGGAATTTGGAAGCCAGACTTAATTTGACCCAGTACCCTAAACCATTGTTTACGCAAGCCTCCTTCCGGCCACAGATTTGTTTTATCTACACACACTGAGGGGGACAATCCGATGCTGAACCTCTGCTGATGGACTCTCGGACACTCAGTGCCAAAACTTTACATCAAAATCAAGCAACCTTTTGCCCCCTTGCACCACTTCTGTCCAGAAACAGCATGTGCGCTGTTATTGCAGTTAATATTAGCCCGTCGCAGAGGGCTTCACGTGCCTTCTGATTAAGTCCTTGAACTAGTCTAACAAAGGTCGAACTCTCACTGTGCGAGCTGCCACCAGCTAAAGAGATTTTGGTCATTACTTGCTCCTTTTTAAATATCATCAAACATCGGCCCTTTCATCATACTGAGCGCGTGACCGTCAAGTTCACAGCTTCTCTAAGCGTGACTGACGGATCCTGCGAGGGTCCGATGCCTGACTAATTTCATACCACTGCTGTTGGTGGGACCTAAAAATAGAGTGCTCCGCTGACCTCCGGTCCAGTCGGTCTTGGCGGCTCGTTTGAGGTCGACCCCCCCCCCCCACACCCACACACACGCACAAACACACACACGGCGCTTTTGACGTCACCTCAACCGAATTGCTTCTTTATTTTTAGACTCTCCCAAAAATAATTGAGCGGCCTCGTTCGGTTGAGATTGTGCAGTGTTATGTAAGGGGATTACTCTGTTGTTATTGCGTATGCTCTGACCGTGTAGGCCTCCACGGGATGGAGGTGGAGATGGAGAGTTGAGGGGCCTCGGGGTGGAAGAGGAGGGTAATGTAGTTAAGGTAGTAGTGCAGGGCTCCAGAAATAACCCAGCTGGGGGCCTAATTGTACATCTCTCCTCCTCCCTTTTCCCTCTTGAGCTGCATGAGAAGGTCTTTGACCTTATCATCCACCTCAATGGTTCCGGAAGAATCCTTTCCGCCCCCCCCGCGGCTACAAAAGCCCAGGCCGATACGCAGAGCACAGCGGCAGACCATCTCCGACCTGAGACTAACAGCCAAGCGCCACAATCATTTAGGAGTGATCCCAGCAGAGCGCCCAAGTGGCTCAAACTTCCAGTTATGTTCTAATCATGCCCGGCGTGGGCCCCGTGGGCCCCGTGGCCCCCTGACAAAGCTCAGCTCAGGTCCCTCAGAGACGCCCGGGGGGCCTAGAGGAAACCTGCATGTCCCCGCAGAACATACAGAGATGCTGCATCTGTATTTGCATTCTCTACACGCACGCAAACCTTCTGAAGCACTGATGTGCGCAGCAAACAGCCGCGACGCTTTGTTTGTTTTTTTGTTTTTTTTGGACGGATATGTAAATGTTTGTAACTCTTCCTGTGTGCGTGAGTTGCGTGTGGAGCATCTAAGAGGAATGTATTTGCTCTGTGTCCCCTGCAGCATTCCTTCATGGTTAGACAGCTCCATGCCCATAAGGGGGCCACAAGGGCCTCTTGTATCCTCGGCACTAATGCATCGCAGCCCCAGATCAAGCACAACATGCATGCAAGCACATACGTGCACACACAAACATCTGAGAGCAGATGCATGCCATCAGATATTTGTTACATAAGAACTCACAAACATATGTAATGAAATGTGGGGTTAAAAACGGCAGACGACACCTGCAGCTGTCCCGTCTTCTCCGTTTTTTTTTTGCAAGAACTGTACATTTATTTCAATTGTTTGTCTTTCACAGACGTCAAATATTTAAAGCAGATTCAAAATTAAAAGGTCAGTTTAATTAAAACGAGCAAGGACTTAGTGGTAATGAAAATGTTGCCCATCGTACAGTGCATGTTTGATGCACACATTCCCTGTACGAGAAGTCCAATGAGCCATACGAGCCCACACACTTCGATGTAGCTTGTGCGCTTTATATTTGTCCTGCTTGCATGTTCTTACTGCCGTCTCAGAAAATCCCGCAGTCAGAAAAATAGTTTTATGATCACTCGTGTTAGAGGTGACTCTCGTTTGGGCCCGAGAAGAAAGGAGCTCTGACGGATGACAGAAAGTTGGAAAGATACAAGAGACTGTGACATTCTAATATTAAAAAAATAAATGAGTGAAATCTGACATCCTTCACAGGGACCTTTTGAGAGCGATGCAGGCAACTCCACCACTGACATCTGACTCTTCACCCTAAACCAGGATCACAGCTGCCACGACGCCTTCGGTAAGCTTCCTTCGGTATTTTGTATTAGGGAAAGGTAACCACATAATTTAGACCTGGCTTTAGTTTTATTTCATAAAGAATGAGATATTATCATGACGAAGCTTCCTGACAGTTGCTAGGTGCATCTATAAAATCAGTACGGGTGTTGATGGCTACGTTGGGGCGGGTTGTGATGAGCGCTGTCCAAAGAGCAGCCAAAGGGCTGGAGACGGATCAGTCTGTTTCTTCTGGGAAAAGCTTCTCCAAAGCGTCTGGACTGGCTGTCGACACTCCCCGTCTTTAAAGTATGATCAAGAAAAGCTTTAACTCATTACTTTCTTCAACGCCCCTCCCCATTTTTGTCCTAACTGCTTTCGCATGTTTAATAATACGGCCTTCAGATGTAATTTGTTCCACTATGATGCATCAGGAGAAAAGGTGAACAGTAGTGCACCTCTTCACCAGGACAGACACCTTCCAACAACTCAAATTGTGCAGGAGAAGAGAAAGACGGAAGAGTAATTGTTTTTATTTCATCTGGAAGGATTGACAGCTGGAGATTTCATCTCTAATGCATTTTCCAGCCTGTATACATTCCATTCACTCTTTTTAAATATTTTATATTGTTAATAAGATTAACTATTCCTTCACATTTAATTAATTGAATTAAAGTGCACTGATTCCGGATAAATCATTTCAACTGTGTACATGTGTCAAAGCCATAGATCCACACTTTACTGTATTACTCAAAACGAGGGCGGAGCTGTAAATAATTATTAACCTGGTCCTCATGGCACCATTAAAACAAACTCATGACGGCCTGCTGAGAAAGTTTCTCCAGGGAAACACAAATCCCATCCGTGCCCTACTAAAAGGGTGCCGGGTCAAATTCCAGGTTGCTGTGTCCTTGACACAACTACGAGAGCCCCGGACGCTTGAATTCAGCCTCCGGCTGCACGTGAGCGGCACTTGTGAGCGTAGTGAGTCACAAAGCCACACAAACAAACAGTGTGAGGTGCTCTGCAGCTATGCTGACTCACATCGAAGACACGTTGGTCAGATACACCGCCGGTGGAAAACCATCTGAGGCACTCGGGTAAGCGAAAAAAAAAAAAAAACCCACATTACCCTCTCCGCTGTAGGCCTGACTTCCCCTCCTGCTGTGGCGGGAGGAGAGAAAGCACCTCGACTACTCGCCTCTTTCTGTTTATTTACCTTCAGAATTACACCCTGCTCCTCTTGGACCGTGTTCCAATGTGTTTTGTTATGTTTCCTTCCAAACAGAATATCCATGCGTGTGGTCTCCTGCCGTGTTTGGCCAACGTGCACACATTCGTGCACACACACACACTCCCATTTAACCCCCTCCCCTCCCTGTGCCAGAGGTCCCCTTTGCCCCCCCCCCCACCACCACCTCTAACTAAACATCGCAAGACAGCAAAAGGGAACTTCAAAGTGGCCGGAGGGGGGTAATCCTTTTTTTTTTTTTTTTTTGGCACTTGTCATCATCTAAGGGACTGGCTGCTCCCCTTATTACTCTAATTGCTTCCAACTGCTGCAGGAGGCTTTGATGAAGGGCACCGTGCACGCTGGAAGCACCTGTTGTTGCACGGGGCAGCACAGGTGGGCCTCGGAGGTGGCCGCTCGGAGGTGTTGCGACAGCTTGAAATCACACAACTGGAACAAACATACAGGGTGAACATTTTTTATGTTACCTAGCATTCCAACAATGAAGACATTGCAAATTACACGGACGAAATTCAACATTTTGGGCATTGAAAGTGTAGGATTTGAGCAGGAACACGCGGGCAACGCTCTGGCTCCATCTTGTGGCGTCACGTGTGCTAGAAGTCCAGCAGCTGCATTGGAAGACGGAAGAAAAGGCGAGTGAGTAGTAGAAGCGTTTTGTGCATTGATGACGTCCTGTGTGAAAGTAGTTCTTTATGTTTCACCTGCTTTTTTTAATTTAACAAGCGAACTACAAGCATTTTCAGCTTCAACTAAAGGCTTAAATGCCCTAAATCTCTCTTATACATCAACAATATAAACTACAACATTAGAATAACAGGTGCAGCGATCAAAGAAAACCATAGCAGCCTCATAATCACAATTGGATGGATTTTGAATAATAATAAATAATAAATCCCCAACGATGGCGAGCTACCCACCAGCTGAGGCAGGATTTTTTCAAAGTGCTCGATGTCCACCTGGTCGCAGTCCTCAGACTCGGCTTGTTTTTGTGATCTCACGGCAGCCTCTGGAAATGAGAAAACACACCGGAGGGTTTTTTATTCATAACGCGATCTGTGTGCGACTGCACAGAAGGGGACGACTAGACTCACCTTGGACAAATATCTTCAGCATCTCTGTCATGAGCAGCACAGCATCACCACTTACTGCAACAGAAGGAGACGCGTTCAGCCAAGAGAAACAGTTTGGAGAGGTTGAGATGTTACCTATTGAGACAATGTTCATTTGACCCACGTCTGGTTTTGTCCTCCTTGAAGAAACTGGACAAGAGTTTGCTTACGGTTTCCTGTAAATGAGCAGAATGCAGAACGTCACCGTAACATATAAATATGTGAAAGACATTCAGGAATGAATTCTTCCCGCAGAGGTGATGTTTATCAATGAGGCATAAATAATAAAGCTAAAGTGAAAAAAGTAAACCGGCAGGTTTTTCTGTGAGGACAAGAAACTGGAAAGCCAAGAGAAAAAGGAAGGAAAAGTTTAAAAACATCACTGCGTTTATTTTGAAATGTCGCGCTATCCACGACTTCCTCAAACCAAACTGCCTTCGGAAAAGACCATAATTTAATGTGTGAACGTACCTGACGTTAGTGTTATCCCGCAATAACGAACACGGAGCTCTTTTATTGTTGCTATTGTGAAGCACATTTCCATTCGGCACACATATACTGTCTATTAGTCTGCTGAGTAATATCTAAAGTTAACATTAGGTCCGAAGTTGAATCGCCCGACGGACTGATTCATGTGCAAACAGCCTCGACGTGAATACTTCGCGTAAACAACAACAACATTTTAGCCTCTTCATATTCGTCTTTATTGAACAACGGGGGAAACCGAGTACGTGTAAACAAATCTAAAAAAAGCAGCGATGTCCTTCTACCTTTTTAAATCCAATCTCTGGGTCTTTCTCCGACATGTTTGTGAACGCCGCGAGAGGAACTTGGCGCTCTGCGTCGCGATTGGTCGTTGATCTCTGACGTCATTCGAAACGCCCTCCATCGACGAAAAACAATGATAAAATGAAGCCTCTTGTCTTTATTTGATTAATTGAGTTATATGATCGTTTTACAACTTTAGACAATTATTTTTACACTGTTTTCTTAGGTATTTTCTTTGATATATTTTCATTTTGACATTAAATTCACCAGTTTGTAAATACCTAAAATTGTAGTTTTTATATGGCTGTTAATATTTTCAATAGTCCTAACATTAAATAGTTAATATTGGTGTCAGAGGAATCCATCCATCCATTGTCAAACCGCTTATCCTGCACACAGGGTCGCGGGGGGGCTGGAGTCCATCCCAGCCATCTTCGGGCGATAGACAGGGTACACACTGGATTGGTCGCCAGCCAATCGCAGGGCTACACAGAGACACACAACCATTCACACTCACATTCACACATCTACGGGCAATTTAGAGTCCCCAATTAACCTGATCCCCAGAGCATGTCTTTGGACTGTGGGAGGAAGCCGGAGAACCCGGAGAGAACCCACGCAGACACGGGGAGAACATGCAGACTCCACGCGGAATCGAACCCAGGACCTTCTTGCTGTGAGGCGACAGTGCTAACCACCACCACGCCACCGTGCCGCCCGTGTCAGAGGAAGAAAAGAGCAAAATGAGGTTGTCAACCTACCTTTTTGAATCCAGTTTCTGAGTCCAACAGTGGATAAAAGGGAAAAAACAATCTTAATCTAAAACTAAATCCCCCATTTCCTTGACAAACACATATAAAATGATAAAACTTTATTCATGAAAAAACACAGATTATAACAAAAAGAGAATACTTTGCATTACAGCAATTCACAATTTGGCTAAATAAATAAAATAACATTTTGGTTTCTTATTACATTACATTAGGTATTTTATTGCAGCTCCACTATTTTTTATGAGCCATATTAGTTTACAGTCCCTAAATTCTTTGAACATACATTTATGATTTCAAGCTTATAAAAGTCACAGAGTATTTGCTTATTCCTCCTCCTCCTCCTCCTCATCGTCCAACCACTGAGGATCTTCCAGTAAGTAGCCCAAGCCCACCGAACGCTTTGATCGAGATCCGGGAAGGGCTTGCTGGGAGTTCTCCTCATCTGAATCCTCCTCTGTCTGAAACACAGATCTTTTCCGTCAGTCAATGGAAACAGAGACCACAAATGCACACTTAAAATCAAATACTGCTAATCAACATTTCTTTCAAATTGCAAAAGATATATACCTTTGGACTAACAACTCGTTTCACTTCCACTTCGCCTCCAATGTCGTGGGGACCGGCCCACTCCGCTTGGTCAGCTTCATCCTCCGAAGAAAACCTCACATAGGCCATTGCTTCATTTTCCTCTGATTGGATCTTCAGAATCTGGGATCCAAGTCAACATATAAGGAATTTGCATAATTCAATTAAAAAATATATATCTTCATAGTTTATTCAAGAATGTATTCAATAAAAAGCATAACTTGTGTCAGTGTTTACCTTACACCTTGTGACAACTCCCCATTCCTTAAAGTAAGCTTGCACATATCCTGCATTGATGAAGTGGTTCAGGCCTTTTATGATCAACCCATGGTGCTGTTAAATGAGAGAAAATGATGCCATAAAATTTTCCTTAGGTCTAAAAGTGATGACAGTATAAAAATGAGAAAAATTGTTTACCAGTTCATAGTCTTTGGCAAAAGCAGCCATGTGTTTCTTTGGAAGACTGATAAAGACACTTTTCTTTTTTGAATTCACTTCCATAATAACTGGAGAGAAGATACGATTTGCAATCTGGAAGGTAATAAAGTGATTACAAAAGAAGGAAAAAATTACAATTATGAAATAGAAAAAAAACAACGATTTGAATTTAAGTTCAAATTATTTAGAAATAAGTATATTCATAATTAACAAAGGGATTCAAAGTGATGAAATGAAGACAGGAAGAAAACTTACCAGAGATCTGTAGTGAGACGCACTCTTCCAAATAGACCAAGTCAAAGTTGTAAGTAGAATGAGCCCACGGGTTTATATCCTCTCAACTGGTGTGTTTGGGGGGTTTCAACTGAAACTGATTGGCTTGTCAGACACTTACCCAACTTGTGTAACAACCATGCGTGCCAAAATATGTTATCAGGGAATTGCTGACATACTTGGAAATGCAGCAACTTGTTTTAACAACAACAGCATCACATACTTGTACTTTATTGTTTCCCCCCAGTGGTATGATGACGCAAGTTCACAATCAGGTCTTCGGCTGTGGAACACGTTTAAAAGTTAAATGTCTTGTAACCCTCTTTTGATCAAACAACAGCACTGAACCCAAGTCACAAGACTTGTTGACAAAAAATGTTTTGCATGGTGTTGATGCGTCTCTTCAATGTTTTCTTTGTAGTGGTGGCATTATTTTCCATTCATCTGGATGAACCTTAAGGTGCAACATGGGATACCGAGCAATACCAACCCTTCACGGCACAGCGGGTTCACGCATTACCTCCACCTGTCGATGTCCGAGCTGCGCGCGCGCACGTGGAGGCGATGTTTAAGCCCGGCCTCCGCTTTCCACGATGGGAGCAGACGAGAGGACCCCGGAATCCACTGAAATGTTGGTGACGATCATTAATATGTCAAATGAATACCGCACCACTTAAAATGATCGCACTCATTTTCATATATTGTGCGTTAAGTCGATATATTGCATATCGCAACAGGCCTGCATGTGATTATGTGATAGACATTCAATAAGCCTTCTTCGCGCAGAAGTTTGTTTTTCACTTTGCACGTTGATGTTTATCAATGACGCGAACTAAATACACCCGAGAGTTTAGTGAAAAGTAAACGGACCAAGAAAGGAAAAGTTCTTTAAACTGTTTATTGTGAGTATAAAAAACATCACTGCGTGTATTTTGAAACGTCGCGCTATCACGACTTCCTCAAACCAAACTGCCTTCGGAAAAGACCATAATTTCATGTGTGAACGTACCTGATGTTAGTGTTATCGCGCAATAATGAACACAGCTCTTTTATTTTTGCTATTGTGAAGCACATTTCCATTCGGCACACATATACTGTCAATCTGCTGAGTAATATCTAAAGTTAACGTAAGGCCCCAAGTTGAATCGCCCGACCGACTGATTCATGTTCATGTTGAGTCCAACAGTGGATGCAATGCCCCCCCTCCATTTCCTTGACAAACATTAAAATATAACTTTATTCATGGAAATCCACAGATTATAACAAAAGGAGAATAATTTGTTTTACATCGATACACTGTTAGGCTTAAACCGATAAAATAACATTTGGTTTCTAATCACATCACATTAGGTCATTTAGCTGACGCTTTTATCCAAAGCTCTTCCAAATGGACCAACTCAAAGTTGTAAGTAGAATGAGCCCACAGGTTTGTCTCCTTAGTCTCAGCAGGTGTGTTGGGGGGGGTTTAAGTGAATGTGATTGGCTTGTCAGAGACTTACCCAACTTGTGTAACAAGTTGGTTTTAAATGCCAACAAAGCAAAAATCATGGTGTTCTCAAAAGCTCCTTACTCAAATGAAAATATATCTTTTGTAAAAACGGCCCAAGGTAACCCAATAGAGATGGTCACCAATTATAAATACTTAGGTTTTCTTTTAGATAGGGAGTTCTCTTTTAAATTACATATTGAAAACCTGTGTTTCTCTTTGAGAGCGCGTAAACTGCTTGTCTCGTCAACTTTTTTACCTTTAGTTGACTATGGAGATGTGCTGTATATATGTGCTTCGTCCAAAAGCCTAGCAGCTCTGGACCCTTTTCTGTATATCACAGTGCACTGAGGTTTTTCACTGGCTGTGGTCGCCTCACACATCACTGTCAGCTGTATATGACATCTGGGTGACCATCTTTGAGCACTCGGAGAGAAACTCACTGGTTGTCCTTGATCTATAAGGCTCTCCTCTGTATGGTCCCGTCTTATCTATGTTCACGCCTCCGTGGAGCAGAAAACCGGTACGCTTTAAGGTCCAGTGATATTTACTGCTTGTACACTCCACGAGTGCGGACTGAACTGGGGAAAAAAGCATTCAGTTTTGCCGTCCCATCAACATGGAACAATCTCCAGGCTGAACTGAAAATGTCTGAACTCGTATCTTTTAATGTTTTCCGACGTTCTCTAAATGGACAGACAACAAAAATCTATTGAACGGTGGCTCTGCTTTTGACCATTTTTTCTTTGTATTTTAGTTTTTTAACTTTAATTTGTATTGTGGTTTTACTCATGTCATGTATATGTATTTTATGGCTGTTTTTTAACGACGTGTGCTGCTGCCTTCTTGGCCAGGTCGCCCTTGAAAATGAGATCTCAATCTCAATGGGACTTTTACCTGGTTAAATAAAGGTTAAATAAAATATAAAATAAACATGTGTGTTTGGCATGTGTGCCAAAACATGTTACCAGCGAATTGCTGACACTGACTACTTGGAAATGCAGCTATTCGTTTTAAGTAGGACATCACATACATTCTTTCCCCTCAGTGGTATGAGGATACAAGTTTACAGTCAGCTGTTCAGCTGCAGTGGAACACGTTTAAAAGTTGAATGTCTTGTAACCATCTTTTGATAAAACAAAAGCACTTAACCAGTTGCCAAACTATTATTATTACTACTATCTTATAAAAAACACTCAAGAAATGTTTTGTATGGTGTTATTGCATCCCGTTTTCTTTTTTTATTCAGCTATGTCATATGGTGGCATTATTTTCCATTCAGCTGGATGAACTTTAAGGTGCAATATGGGATACAGAGCAATAATATATTACGCCTTTATTATACGTTACGTAGCATATATACAACGCAGAACATTTTTATGTATTCACATGTATTTGTTTTTCAGATTTAACAATTATTTTCTTATAAACATAATGACAAAATAACAGATACAAAAACAAATCCTGAGATATGTAAGGGAGCTGCATGAATAAATATATCAATAATACTGTGAAAATGGCCAGGATTCATTTGTGCTCATGCGGAACATTTCAATTTTAACACTGTGATACGGTTACAGGTTTTGCTTTTCGCTTTTGTTCTCAACCGTCTACTACAGCCCAGATGCATATCCCCGATTAGATCATATCTTTGCGTTGCTAGAGCCTTTGTTGGGAATGTTGTTCAGCCACAGACTGGGGAGAGAAATTAAGAGGAAAACGCATCACATGCAGGATAGTGTTCACACAGAAAAGCCTTTCCAGATTAGAAACGAGGTCATTCAAAAGTTGGCAAACAACGAAGTTGTGTTCCGGCCACAAAGAGTTTTCAGCGGTGACTCGGATCACTTCCACTATGAGGGGGAACCAGGCCACTCCGTTCATAGACGGCTTGCAAATTGGCGATGAGGAACTCTTTGTCTTTACCTTCCTGTAAAAATAGAAAATATACACAAGCTAAACGAAGACTAATATCAACACACAATTTAGACATTCTACCAAATTCCCTATTTTGTGGATTTCCACGACATGTGTTACAGACATTTATGGTACCCGGATTGTTTTTAGGACTTTTACTACTGGATAGATTGCTGGGAAATTTGGTACAAATATCGGTCACTATTTTTTCTGCAGCACTACGAGAAGATCATTTATATGCTTAGTCTCAATCTACGATATGGATCACCATTTGTGTTTCACTCTGGAGGAATTCTGATTATTATATTTAGGCTGACAAAATATGTTCAGCCTCAGTTTCACTATTTCAGCTGAATGACCAGATGTTAGCCTTCTAAAATGCTACTCTACAGCTGCGAGCGTGTCAAACCTCCCACATGTTAAACATCTGCATGTTTGGATGGTCATTGTGAGCATTTTAGAACGCCGCATGCTTACATTTTCAATTTGTTTTTCTAACCGACTGATGATTCGTTTTTGGCCATCAACAACTTGAGTGCGAATGTATATCACCAATCTGAAAAATAGAAAGCGTAAACATCGAGACACGATGCACAAAATTAGATAAATAAACTGTTAGAAATAAAAAAAAACATTTGAATGATAACTTCACCCGGTCACCACTTACAGAAAGACTCCAGCCACCAGGAATAAGAAGAGTGGCTTCTCCAGCAGAGCGTTGTAGGCCCAGTTGAGCCAAGAGAGGATCGGGTGGCTGTTCCCCAGCTGCTCGTCCCGCATCAGCCCCGACTGAAACATCGTGGTCAGATTCCTGAAAGGGCCGCACCTCGACGAGGGTTTAATCCTGAGGACGCCAGGCGGAGGGATTTTGAAGATACGCGCGGGTTCGATAAGCGTTTGTACAAATAGCCCCTTTTTTTCAACATTTAAATCGGAGGTTAGCCAGGTTTATTCTCTATTGAACAATTCAAAAGTAAAGATGAGAACCAACGTTGAACCCCTCTCCTCTCCTGCACTCACTTCCAAATGATGTAAGCGACGGACACAGCAGCTCCAAGAAACGAGGGAAAGCACAACAGAGAGATGAACACTGTCGTCATTTGACTGGCCCGCCAGGGCTTTCTGGATGCCTGACAGTTGAGCATTAGACTGGTCTGGAAAGAAAGAAAAAAATAATTTAAAGTAAAGGCAAATGAGTATAAGTGTGATGTTAAGGAACAAGATGTTCTGTACTGACCTTTTTCATGTAGAATAACAAAAACAATTTTATGATCTGGACCGCGGGAAGCAGTGGCGTAAACAGCATCCCGAGCCTGGGAAGAAGTGAGGGCCGTTAAGGTTTAATGGGCTTCTTGTTGTGGTGAAGTACTTGATGGGCCTTATGGGGTTATTACCAAGTAAGGGTTTGCCCGTATATGAGCTCCAGCACATTACGAGCGATGTCAAACACTGGCATCCGCTTCCTTTTCAGAATTTTTGTGGAAAAAAGCCTGAAGAGGGAAATAATTTAACGATCAGGGAACGATGTTATTAACAGTGAACAAGGGAATCAAGTTACGCGGTTTATGGGAGGGGGACCAACTTGCCTCCACAGGAACTCTCCCAAAAAACTGTAAAGCACTGTGAAGATAAAGTCCATCAAGAGCAAGCAATACAGTTCTTGCCCCACAAAGCTCTCCCAACACTGAAGACGACAGAAACAGCGAAGTAAAGGTCACATCATATCCGGCATCAGGTTTTGTTTTTTTCTCAGGAAGCGGTCGGAGATACTGAGGAATGAGTTTCACATTTCAGCGTCGCTAGACTGGAATTTTTTAAACACAAGGAAGTTTTTTTTACCAACAAACCAAGCCTTTCTGGTTCCAAGGCAATTCTCCCGAGCCAGCGAAAACCCAGCACTCCAACAATACTGACCTTCAGCAGGAGGTTTCTGAGGAAGGAATTGTTTAAATGTTCATTTGAAGACAAAAACAAAAAACAGCGTCAAGTTAAAGTCCGTGTTACATAAATAGCTTCCCATTATAGTAAGACTTGCGTGCCATTAAAGCGTTCATATTTATTTTCTTATTTTATGCATTGGAGCCATCAGATTCAAAGAAGTTATGACTACTCTTTGCAATTAAAACAATAATTGAAGAGAATATGTGTTTACCGTAGTTTAGTGCAATTTATACAATAGACATATTTATTAATAAATAGTACATTTTGCTGCTTCTTTATGCTTGACAACTCTCGCCTCGCTTTGTCGGTTCTTGGTGTCTTATCTCTTGGTTGATGTTTGTTCAGTTGTTTTTCTCACCTGAAGATGGAGACATAGACGCGTACACTGGGCGAGTCACGATTCTCCACCCAAGCACACAGGTTGAAGAAGCTGGGGAGTAGAAGGTTCAAGGCGGACACCCCTGCAGACAAGCGCAGCGGCTGGGTTTCTTTGGAAGAGAAAGAACTCTGTGAAGGAATGGACAGATCATCACCTCAGCACCGGCTGGGGGCAATAATTCCTTCAATGCAACATCACGAATAACACAGCGGAAGCTGTCACGTTTGGGAATGACAAAGAAGCAAATGTGAAAGTAAACCAAGGAAAGATTGGTGATGACGCAATCACTAACTGACTGATCTTATCTTGCTTTCAACAACGTATCGGGAGGCTGGCAGTTTGAGGGCAAAGTTGAACAAGTTTCAGTGGTGCTGTGAAGACGGAAAAAGTTTGCAAACCTGTGTTAAACACCCTCAAAATACCCAAGTCCATCTTTTGGGGTGGTTCTCATGCATGGCAGTTTTGTAAAGCAGCAGCAGGCCCTAACGAAGTGTGATAAAAATCTTCCAGGAAGGTAAAAGGAGAAGGAAGTACACTGCGTGCGGTGAGAAAGGGGTTCTTTAAAACGGACGTTTTCGTGGCTATTTTTGAAAAAATTTCACGTAGCTGCTCAGATGTGCATAAAAAATGCACATCTGTTGTGTAGTTCACTATCACCTCTGACAGATAGTAGACTGCCAAGGCGCCGAGAAAGATGCTGCTCAGACATGTCGCCCACGCCGCCAGGTGCACGATCAGGCGGCGGAGTCGCTGCCTCCAGCTCTTTTTAGTTTCTCCACGGATCACCTCCGACAGCAGCTCCTGTAGGAAAAGCAGGGGTTTGTAAGGTCGAGCCATCGCTGTTTATTGAATAACATGTTCAAAAACACGTTGAAAGTGTGATCCGGCCTGCTATGGATTGCCTTTAGTCTAAGGGGATATTTGAAAAGCTTTCCTTCCCAACAAAATGGCATTCTTTAGCCTCCCGCTGTCCAAAAAAAAGGTTACATGTGGTGGTGGAAATGCACCATTAAAAGCTTCCTGGGTGTAAAAAACTGCAAAAAATGTGTGAACACACATGTCGCATTGAACTTAAGCGTGCAACGTTCTGAGGGTGTAAGCTTACTGCTTTTAAAGAAGTAAGCGTTGACAGTTTATTCATGTTTGAAATGAGTCGGTTTCATGGTGCATGATATTGAAAATGAGTCTGAATATCCAACGTCTACCTTGAGCTGAGTGCAGATTTTCTCAGACTGCAGTTTGACAGGCGTCTCCTTGCTGACTTTAAAGTCCCAGGAGCAGAAAACCTTTACAGCCCAGTTTCCATTAGACGCGAGGACCTGAAAATTTCTCCCGAAGGACTTGGACATGCTGCGGGGGAACAACATCGCCATGAAATACGCTGCCACGAGTCTTCATGGGGAAGTAGTTAAGTTATTGCTCCAACCTGTACACCAGGATGATGCAGATAATGGCGAAGGAGATGACGATGGTGAAGAAATAGGCCGCGGGTATGCTGTATGTCCCCGGCTGGGGCCCGCCGCTTTCACACTCCGGGGATCCGGCGGGCCGGCAGGTTTGGAGCACGCCGTTGGTGTAGTAGCCGTAAAACATCACACTGTGGGAGATGTAATCACCCTGCAAGACAATAACTCTCGAGTCAGGACAGGGCCACAGGATCCCTCACGCGTGGGCCGCGTTGCACCTCACCGTTCCCGTGAGGAGCCCGAGGCCGGTGAAAGGCCGAGGAGGGTCAGCGGGAGGAGGAGGAGGGTTGACGGCTTGAGGGAAGACCAGGAACAGGCCTAAGATGACGAAGAGGAGGAGGTTGAAGAGCAGGAGGGTCCGAAGAAACAGGAAGTAGGAGAGCACCCCGGTCCCAAAGCGCCCGCTCAGTCTCTTCATGGGCGAATGCCACAACTGGAGGGAAGTGAGGCCGGAGCGGCAATGGGCCCAAGTCTGAGGGGAGGAAAGACAGAGAACCCTTTGAGTGAAGGACTTATACCCACAAACACGTGTGTGGCACACAGTGTGTACTCACCCTGCACACGCGCACGTACTGGCGACAGTGGCACGATGCGTTTCTGCTGACGAGGGAACTCTGGGCCGCGTCGCTGAAAACAAGTCGCCTGATAACAGACGGGCCGGTTGCTCGGTTACCGCGATGCTCGGTTTGTTCGCAGAACATTATGGATGTTTTTTCTGGGCCACGTGTACCTGACGTCCTTCTTATCGGCCAGGCTGAGCGCCGCGGCCCGCAGCCTGCGCATCCCCTCGCCCGCCGGGAGGCCTCGGAGGTGGAGGACCAACTGCTGCTTCTCCGTGTCCTCCGTGAACCTTGACATTTTCTGTACCCTCTCGGAAGTTATTTCCTCCACATCTGCCAGTTCCCGGTCACTTTGGAATGTCCCAGCGGGGCGTGAGGAGTCACGGGACGAGGTCTGGTGTCGCCGTGGGACTGCTGCAGCGCCGCTCATCCGCGTGGGGATAAAAAGCAAAGTCAGTTTACACGTGTCCATGAACTTTGCGGACCGATAATCGGAAGAAGGCTTCATCTCACCAGCAGCGCGACTGGGCATTGCGGAGAGGACCTTTAAGGTGGCGGCCGACCAGCGATTCCTCTGCAGACACCTCGGCTGCCTGACGTCGAGGGGCTCGCCTCTCGTGGGACCGCCAGCAGGAAATGGCTGATGTTCTGCATTTGTGCCGATAAAGCCGGTAAAAACGCCCATTTGTAGGGTTTCAGGGCACCTCTGGGTGCTGGCAGCTGGCTCTACAAAGAGCTGGAAGGAGTCGTGACCTGGTTCACTGTCCCCCATGTTCCTAAGGGAGAGGAACCGGGATGGCCCAACAAACCCTCAGTACAGTAGCATGTATACCTTTTTTTATTTTCATGCTGGATTAAAAATGAAGAGATTTCTGATTTCCCAGATCACCTCGCCCACCACAAACCAGATACATGGAAGTCTCCTTATGGGTTTCCAGTTTAGAATAACAAAAGAGCAAGAGGCCTCAGATATAATGCAAGATGGACTAAAATCCTTCAAAGCTATGGATAAACGTTTTTTTAGGCAAGGACCCAAAAACAAAATGAGAATGACTTGTGTAAATGAAACAGCACCGTAAAACCAAGTAAATCAACTCTTTTAAGACAACTCACTCAAAGTCAGAGTCAGAATCAATTTGACAGATGTCTCCTCCGTATGCCATCGTCCTCGAATGATCTCTGTACCGCAAACACACGGCTCCCAGCGGCTCGGCCATCAGCACCAGTCACACAGACAACCAGAGAACAGGGTGAGAAGGCTGACTGTCTATTCTTGACTAATTGTCGGTACACATCATGCAGACTTCCCGTCTGTCTCTCTCTCTCTCTCTCTCTCTCTCTCTCTCTCTCTCTCTCTCTCTCTCTCTCTCTCTCTCTCTCTCTCAGCAAACAGCTGTGCCTGTAGATGCAGAGCTTTAGGCCTGCAGGCTGCAATAAGTTACACATAGCTGCCATTTGTTGTTTTGTGTGTCATCCACACATAAAATAAAAATTTAAAAAAATAAAAACACGGTGTACACGTATCTCAAATCTAGCACTCATTGCAAACAGTTCGAGGGAAGTACCAACATGGAAGTGTGTGTCTTCCGATGAATAGTGGAGGGGAAGTCTGAGCTGAGTGAATTTAGAGTAGCGGGTGGTCGGCGCCCTCTAGCGGTCACATTCAGGAACTTCAACATCGCATCAATCTGGAGTCAATAACATTGGAAGGACTCGCAGTAGGCACCCAGCGAGTTCTCGTTTTCCACCCGTATGGTTTCCTTTGTTGGGTTTCAGTGTTGAATCTCATATCCGTTGCATTTGGCCAAATCCCAATAACGTGTACGATATGAATATTTGCTCCTTGTAAAAAATAAATAGCCCTGAAATGTTTATGTTGTATGTTGCTTCGACTCATGCCTCGTCCCCACTGCCTCCTTGAGTACAGAACCCACCTACGTCATTTACATTTACATGATTTAGGGCACGGCTTATTGTGACTCAGATTGGAGTCCGCATTTTACGAGCGGCACTTGAACACGTCGGAGCAGAAAAAGTTTTTTTCCGGAAGCCGCTCAGGCAAAACGAAACTGTCACAAACTTTGACAGGGGAGACTTCTACTCGTCTTTAAATCCTTTATATAGAAGTTGAGGTTTTTTTTGACCAAACAAAACAAAACAAAACAAAATGCAGGGCAGCGCTTACGGGGCCTCGCTGGCTGGCGGTGCTTTCGATGTGGTGAATTTTGCGAGACAGCCTCAAACCATCTTGCGCTGCCTGAGCTGGGTGAGTGACTCCACGGAAACACGTTAGCATCGCGCGTTAGCCGACCGTGTTGTGCTCACAGATGTGCGCTGAGAGAGAGGGGGGGGAAGAGTCCGTCAGCGATGCTGCCTCTCGGCTACGTGAGCCGCCGACACCGGACACTTAAATAAAGTTACACCAAGAAGGAAAAAATGTCATGCAACGTAACGGTAACGTTATCCCGTTGTAGCGCTTGTTGACGTCGGCTAGCGGCAGCTAGCGCGTCCAGTGCCGTGTCACCTTTCCACCTGATGCTGGACGACCCGGCCGGCGTGGCGCGCGTCGCGTGTCCCACTGCTGTGAAAAAACACGAGCAATGGAGACAACAAAACGGCTACAATGACTACAAACGGCGTGGATACAAAACGAGCGTAAACCGGGTCGCTACGCAGCTGTTTGTGCGCAACATTGCAGATAAACGAACGTTACGTGAAGTAAAACGACGCGTTTGTCAACCAGAGCACTTAAATTTAAATTGAATTAAATGTGTGGTTTGGAAGCAGATGCCGAGTTGCTGCCCTTTTCTCTCCATGCACGTCTTTTTCACATCCAGGAGCCATAACTTTGGCCCCAAAGCAGCTCTGTCCCTCCGAGGTGTGAGGAGGGACCCTGATCTGCACCAATCGGCCCTAAAACATCACTCAGATTTACACCTTCAGAATTCCTTTGTGCGACCAAAACTGCCTCTCAGATGTTTTGAGTTCGATTTTTTTTAAATCTATTTTTTTTATGGTGGCAGCTGATGGGAATCATGTGATGGGAGTCACGAGGCCCTTGCAGCCACGAAATATTTGCTTCACTACCACCGCCGCCACCTGTTGTTAACCCCGCGCGTCCCTCCTTCGCAGGTGTTCTCCATCGTGGTCTTTGCAAGCATCACGGCAGAAGGCTACATGAACCCATTGGAGGCGGAAGACACCAAATGCATGTTCAACAAAAACGACAGCGCCTGCAGCTACGGGGTCGGGATCGGGGTCCTGGCCTTCCTGGCTTGTGTGGTCTTCCTCGTACTGGATGCCTACTTCCCACAGATCAGCAATGCCAAGGAGAGAAAAATGATTGTCATGGGAGATTTGATCTTCTCAGGTGAGCGTCACGTTTCGCTGTAGACGACTGCTACTTGCGTGAATACAGGAAGCTCGTGCCCTCCCCAAAAAACAGGAAGCGCGGCCTGGTGGAGGTTAATTCTGTCATCATATTTTACTTTAATCCTGACTATTTAACTTTCCTCATTGGGGGGCGGGGTTACAGGGGCTTGGACGTTTCTGTGGTTCGTCTGCGCCTGTCTGCTGGCCAACCAGTGGTCCAAAACCGCCGACTCGTCTGTCATCGCCAAGGACGCCGCCCGAGCCATCGTGACCTTCTCATTCTTCTCCGTCGTCACTTGGGTGAGCCTTTCGTCGGTGCGACCGGCGTTCGACTGACAAAGATGGCGGGCCGGGTGGCGGCAGAAGCTTCGCCTTTTTGTAACTGTAATCTCCTCCCGACAGGGTCTGTTGTTTTACTTTGCGTTCGGAAGGTACCTCGAGGGCGTCAGCGACTTCGACCAGGGGTACAGGGACCCGGCCAACGACCACAGCACGCCGTACCCGCCGTCTCCGTACGCCAGCAGCAGCAGCGGGCCGGCGGGATACCAGCAGTCGCCTTTCTCCAACAACCAGGAGCAGCCGGGAGAGTACCAGCCTCCAGCTTATTGAAGTCCAACAGGGGAGTTTGCTTTTTGTTTTGTTTTGTTTTTTTAAATAAACGTGTGCCAACGACTTCATCCACAACTCTGTTCTCTGCGTTCCCTTTCACCCTCTGCAGGATGTGTTTGCGTTTAGTTTGGCTGCACTGAGGTGTTCTTACTTCATAGTGTTGTAAGTTGTGTGGTGGCGGATTGCTGCGCTGTTCAAAGTGCCACACAGAGCGGGGGAACTCTGGAGATTTATATGGATATATCTATATCTATATATATATAGATATAGATATGGGTTTTTGGGGGGGATAGACAGAGATTGTCATGGACAGACATTGTTGTCATTGTACCAAACCAGCTGAAGTTCTTTTTATGCCCCTTTTTTGTTTAGGACATCAGTGCAAAGCTGTTCACTTCTAAGCACTAATCAACCAATCAGCTTCACAGAGATGCCGGGAAGTCTGCTTTTCCTTTTTTGAGATTAATAACAACTAATTGTCTTTTAAATGTGTTACTTTTGACTACATCATAGTTTTTTTGTTTTTCATTACTGCCAGTCATATACGGCAGTTCAACTATAATTTACTGATGGAGTTCAGTAGATTTTTTCCTATGTTACTTAATTAACGATTGCATTGAAATGTGCCCTCTACAACTACTGTAATGCCATGCTCCTTTCCTAGTTATCAACCACTGAAAATGGCTTTCATGCACTGAAAAGCTCAGTTAATTTCTTTAGGGCAGTTAGTTGCCATTATTGGAATTTTTATTTATGATTTTAAATCAATTCTGCCAGCTATTATTTAGTATTCATCAGCTACCTCTGTAGAAGTATAAAGTGCTCTCCTTGAGTTCACTCTTAAGTATCTAATTGAGTAAATGTTCCAGCCATGAATAGTTTTCAGGAATTCGGTGATGTTGTGCTAAATTGGTATATTTATTATTTTTCTCAATCCTTTAGTCCAGCTACATGACAATCAAACTATATTTGTTTCCAAATGACTTTATGCTCCCGCTTCTCGTACACTGTAGTTTTGCATGTGTTGCAGTTTCGCTGCTCAGTGGCTTTACAATAACTCCCCATTGCCTTTGTACAGTATTCTGTATCACGCAGGATTTGCCAAATAAAAACTGTTGATGTTTTTAAACCGGGTCGGCTTCTTCTTGCGATCTTCTTATGAGTGAACCGGAGTCGGTGCAGGGTCGTACTCCCTCGGCAAATATTTGAATAGTGATAAGTGAATGCAAAGGAACTGTGGAGGTGGCACTCACTATGTAAAGACAATGCGCGTTTTACAGAAGAACATTAAAAATGAACCATGCCTTCTGTGATGTAGAAGCAGATTTCTTCTGAATTAATGAAAGTTCAGAGTGAAAATACTAAAGGGAATTATTTGCCTTCATTTCAATTGAAATTCTTTTAGTGCATTGTTCATCAACAACTTTATGAATTCCAAACTGGAGAATTAATGTCACCACGGAGTGCTGTTTGATGGGAAATTCGAGAATCGTTTAAAGTGTAAAGCATACCTAACATTTAGTGTACTGTAAACCAAGAGAAAAAACAATCTTTAAACAATGTAAACTGTCACTGCTCAGACTTTGGCACAAAGGACAAAGGTACGGTTGGTCTTATTCTCCCTCTGGTTGCTCCTTTAACAGAGTATCTCATTCTATTTCAAAAGACAAAGGTTTCATTGGCTTACTCATCATCTTCTGACGACATCCAGGCCGTTCTTTAGTTTGGGCAATCGGACCGAGACGTACTCGATCAGATTAAGCCGGAAACAACATAAGGGGAAGTTAACTATTCCCCTCACACACCGTTCCACACGTAGAAAAGTACACGTGCAAATGAGTATTAAAAAAGACACCGTTCCTAGCAAAGCAAATTTCTTAGCAAACTAGTAAATCTTTATTAGTAACCTGCGTTTTCTGCTATCGTTAAAAACAAGAGCATGGATTATTGTTAACCTCTGTAGCTATTTATTTTTTAATAACTACTTTATTTTTCTCACTGATCAAATGGTGCATTAATTATTCCTTCTTCAGTTTGTATCTATAGAAGTTTAGTTAAATCGGATGATATCTGATGCATCATCTACGTGGTAATATATTAATACATTCTAGTCCTTGATTTAGTGAAGTATTCTGTTACATTTACATTATGTATCTTCAAGTAAAAAGATGATTCACCCCATTTACATTTTCTATTTAGCCTGTCTACTTCAGTCACACACATCACAGACACTTAAAAAAAGAGACAACTCGATTTCCGCAGTTTATTTCTCAGCCGTTAACAAATATTCCGACGGCGCCTGAACGCACCGTTCGGCAATCCCTCTCCCACCCCGCCGCGCGCTCGCGGCGCACGCTGCTGCCGTCGTCATCAGCTGATACAGGAAGTAATGAGTGGTCGTCCGGTGAACGGGGAGCGCAGGTGAAGCAGCCGAAGAAGGAGCCGAATAATGACATGTGAGCTCCAACCGCCAGCGGGACCGTGAGCGGAACATCTAACGCGGTGAGTGAGAGGCCGCGGGAGAAGGTTTCGCGTCGTCCCTGAACGCAGCAGCCAATTGTGACGGCATCTGCGTTAACCTCTGCGCTCACGAGCTAACGCTTACATGCAAACACACACACACACACACACACACACACACACACACACTTGCAGATATGATGTTTGGGCGTGTGTACGCGTGATAAGAAGACAGAGAAAACTCAACCCTCTACTATGTTTAATAAAGTAACTCGCGGTATTTTAGTTATTTCTCTCACTGCTGTTTATGAATTAAGGGCCGCCGGCGAGATTCCCCCCCAGCCTCCTGCAGACTAAATGATAAATACTCAAATATCGCTGTAGCTGATCAATGCCTAAAACGGTGTCTTGTCTGTGGATGTAACCACCTACTATCGAGTCCTCATTCAGATGCACATCTGTTGGGTTGTGCCTTGACATGCAGAGGCTCCGGGAGTGTGACTGACAGCAAGAAGTGTTTTTGATTTATAGGCCCGACGCGGTGTCCTTGATCTGTTGCCTCTGAAGACCACCTCCCCTGATGTCCTCCTCTCATGGAGGCACAGAGGACAGAGTTTTCTTATCAGAGGAAAGCCGCAGGTTTATTTTTGAGAAGGTCAGGACAAGGTCAGGACCAGGTCTAGGTCGGGACCAGGTGGAGTAGGTCGGGGCAGGACAACTGCGAACACAATCTGTGAATCATAGCTTCTCAGTGAAAAACTACCCAGAGAATCACTCTGAAGTTACTGGACCATTTGCCACGCTTTCTCACAACCACCAGGATAATGTCACCGTGGTCTTTCGGTGATTTGTCATTATTTTATTGATAGAAGTTGATTTTATATAGAAACCCTTTTGAGATTTCCCTCTAGACCGTCGCGCATTGATGAATTATTAACTCGTGAAAGAAACACCTTCTGTTTCTTGACTGAAGCTCAGAACGTGTTGAACCGGTTATTAACCAACTTTATCGCGTCGTGAAGGTAAGCTGTGTGTTTTTAAAATGATCTCTGGCCTCAGTCCAGTTTTCAGAGCGCCGATCGCCTCCGTTATGCAGCACCACAGCAACCTTCTTCCTTTGAAAAGATAACAGGAGTTCCGTCCCCTCAACTACCTCTCCCTCACCTCCCGGGGGCCTATCAGGCCCCCCCTTGGGGTTGCAACGATGAACGGAGCCCGCGGACGCATTGTGTTGGCTTGCCCCTTTGGACTCGAGCGTAATCCTCAGTCTAGTCAAAGTTCACGAGCGCTGCAGCAATCGTTAGTCCGCCGGTTTGCTCTGCAAGTGATCGGTGAGCAGCCGGCGCTCGGGAAGGCTCTAGTCGGAGGACGTTGACGGGGATCCGATGGCGCACAGTGAGCCCTCCGGCAGGAGGAGACGACGGGGTAAGCCCTCTGTTGGCCGCTTTTTTTTTTTCTTCTTCTTCGTCTTCTTCTTCTTCGTGGATTTGGAGCAAAACAGCCCTTGAAGCCATTGAGCATCAGCCACTGGGTGGTGTATCCCGGGCCGGCCTGAGGGTGCAGGGCCCAGATGGTTCCGCCACAATGGGCTGCTGTTTGGCTCCAGCACTGTTTTGGCCCCCCCCCCCTCTTAATGAAAGAGTCTTTCAGCCTCCTTTTCGGAGAAATGCAGCCACGTTCAGGCCGCAGGCGTGTGAAAGCTGCCGAGGCAGATTCGACAGTTCCCTGGGGTTTGTTGGGTAGTAAATGTTTGCTTCATCAATAATCGGCACTAAGAAATACAGTTTCTTGTGTTTTTAAAAGGAACTTTTGAGCTCTTTCCGCCTGCGCTGTCACATCCTTCTGTTCAAAGCATCTGCACCACTTCGCAACTTCTTCGCTTATCTACGATGCGTCAGCGAAAATGAATGAAGGTCCATTAAAGGCAGAGTTGGTAAACTATTTCAAAAACGGGGTTTGATATTTTGTTGACATTCTCTGTTAACTTGACTAACACTACTAGCTTAACCTTTTGAAACCCAGGTGGCCTCTTAAAAGGGACTTTAGTTTAGTTCTGCTTACTCGGAATTAAACCTGTAAAATGTCAAAACGGTGAAGTAATTTTGCTTTATAGGTTACTGTAATGAAGAATAGATGATCCAAGTGGCTGCTGATGGCTTCCGTATCGTTTCATAACTAATATATAACTAATAGGGACTTTGTCACGTGCTGGATTCTATGAGCTGTGTATTTCCTGATTTACCTGTTCACATAAGCCCTCCCCTTTTCGGTCACTGTTACTGGGCTCCTCCCAACATCCACGTTGACACGGTGGCCTCTCACCTATCCCGCGTCAGGCCTGCTTCCTGCTTCCCGTCGAGTGACGTCCAACATTGGATACTGTCACTGATACCACATACTGTCACTTGTATCGGAGGCTGGATGAGCGATCGGCCTGCCAGCGGGACCACAGATCCGACCGGCAAACGCCGTCTGTTAATGGCGAGTATGTGAGTCGCATTAGATCCGGTTTTATTATCTACACGTCAAGTTGTAGGCCGGGTCAAAGTTTTGTTTGAACAAGTTTTCTGAGGACATTTGAGATCATTTTGAAGATTTGTCACAAGTTTGTCTTGTAGTTCACCTTTCGTCTTTTGGGGTTGACCTTTTCCTGCTACCTGAAACTCTCCAGCTTTACAGAGCTGCTGCGTCCATACGGTCCAAGTGTTACCGGGATGAAGAATCTAGTAGAACCTGAATGGTGACTGCGTGTGAGGAAATAATTAAACCATTACTACTGAAAAAGCAAGTCATATTCTTTCTCTTGCAGATTCAATTCTTTGAATTGAAATAAATTAAATAAAACAAGGTCATACACTCATGCGTAGTATAACCAGAAGTCAATGTCGCTAAATGTTAGCTGATGTTAGCACACTTTAGGCAGACGTTGCTCTACAACAGAGCATATCGGGCCTGTTTGCTGACTTTATGACTCTTCTACAGTTAAGAATCAGAAGGCGATTATTGCCACGTGTGTTACACATACAGGGTTTTGTCTTGGTGACTGATATAAGATAAAGTGAAATAACGTACGTTACGTTCATATATGTCCATGGTTATAAACCACTGTGCAAATATCTTGGGGGTGTAATGTCAGCGGAGGACTCAGACTTGGTTTATGAGGCCAACTGATGAGGGGAAGTGATGCCGCCGTTTGAGGATTTACATTGTCCTGTCGGTTGCTGTTCAACGAACGCCACACAGTCTCGCGTTCACGCTGAAAAGTAAACGAAAGGCAAGAAAAGGCTGTAATCAGTTTATCCACGAATGAACTTCTTTTTAGCTGTTGTTTCTAAGCGGACTCCTCGTCTCTCTCCGCTTTTCCCCGCAGCTCGTTCCGGGCCTCCGTCCTCCATGCCTGCTCCCTCAGGCGGGGCTTCACCGGAGAAGAATGAGCCTGTGAACAATCTGCTCATCTCTGTCGGAGGCCTCCCCATGTTGGCGTCCATGGCCAACACCACCGACCCCCGCTTCCGCCTCAAATGGAAACCCATCGTGGCGGTGGTCTTCTTCCTGGCGACCTTCCCTGGCGCTCCTCATGCACCAGCGCTCCGTCTCCGGCGACCCGCGCGGCTGGAGGGCCGGTCGCGCTGACGCCCGGCCGCCCGCCCCCCGTTACAACGACACCTACCCGCTCAGCCCGCCGGAGCGCACGCCGCAAGGCGCCCGCTACCGCATCGGAGTCATCGCCGACCTGGACAAGAAGTCTCGCCGGAACCAGACGCTGTCGTGGTTCAGCTACATGCGGCGGGGGCATCTGTCGGTGTCCCCCAGCGGGGACACGGTGGCGGTGGAGTGGGACGCGGAGAGGGTGGTGCTGGAGAGCGGCCTGTCGGAGAAGGGGCGGGGCATGGAGCTGTCCGAGCTGGTCGCGTTCAACGGGAAGCTGTACAGCGTCGACGACAGGACGGGCGTAGTCTACCACATCGACGGGGACAAGATTGTGCCCTGGGTCATCTTGGCCGACGGCGACGGCAGCGTGGCCAAAGGTCGGCATTCCTCGACCTTGTGCGCGCTTTTTTTCTTTTAACTGAGAGAGATCTGTTCCGATGTTGTGTGAATAACTGTTTGAGGCCTTTAAAGGTCATCCAATAATTCAGAAAAAAGGCGAATTCGATACAATCCAAACTCTGCAAAAGGGGACATGTTATGTCTGTCCATCTCATGACCACATAGTCTTCTGCTGTTTGGACACCACTTGACTTTGTATTTGAAGTGTTTATAGATGTACAAGGTAAACCTTAAAACCGTAATGTTCTGTTGCTCATCACTCTTAACAATCTAATATTAAAACATAATCATATTACCGACACGATTGCCATTTTTATTTTATGTCTTTTTAACTGAAATTCTGCTTTTTTGCTTGTCATGGAGTATGTTTTTTTTTGTGTGTGTGTGTGCGTGGTTAATTGCTATTCTCCCCATAGGGTTCAAAGCGGAGTGGATGGCGGTGAAGGACCAACACCTGTACGTCGGCGGTCTGGGGAAAGAGTGGACCACCACTGAGGGCGAGTTTGTCAACAACAACCCGAGCTGGGTGAAAGTACTGGGCTTCAGAGGGGACGTGCAACACGAGGACTGGGTTCCCATCTACAAATCTCTCAAGGCCGCTGCAGGGTTGGAGCCTCCAGGTGAGGATGTACATCTGCTCTCTCCCTCGCTTCCCCCTTTTTCCTTTCTCTTTGTTTTTAATCGCGCGCTGTGTCCGTCTGCAACAGGGTATCTCATCCACGAGTCAGCGGCGTGGAGCGACGTCCTGCAGCGCTGGTTCTTCCTCCCCCGGCGCGCCAGCAAGGAGCGCTACGAGGAGACGGCGGACGAGCGCCGCGGCACCAACCTCGCCCTCAGCTGCTCGGCGGATTTCCGCGACATCCTGGTGAGCCGCGTGGGTCCGCTTAACCCCACCCACGGGTTCTCCTCCTTCAAGTTCGTCCCCAATACGGACGACCAGATCGTCGTGGCCCTCAAGTCGGAGGAAGACGGCGAAAGGGTCGCCACGTACATCACGGCCTTCACGCTCAAAGGACGCATCCTGATGCCTGAGACCCTGATCGGGGACGTGAAGTACGAGGGCCTGGAGTTCATATGAACTTGGAGGCTCGCTGTGTTGACACTGCACTATTCTTTTTTTTTTCCCCCGTTGAACTTACTGCACTCGCTGCTTCCGCGTCGAGGCAAAGATTCCACGGATCGACATAAACAATGTCAGCGGGTCCGTAGTCCGTCTCCTCACCGGCACAGATGTGGCCCTCGACCGTACTGCAGCGTTTCTCATGATGAATGTACACAAGATCGATTGGTCGGACTGTGATTTATTTTCTCAAAACATTCAAGTGCGTGCACATACTGTACATTCTCAAAAGGTTTGTTTGTCCTGTTTTGCTCCATGTTAAACATCATTCTGTACACACCGATTTCACTGAAAAAACTAAAAGGCTGTTATTCTTCACCCATGTTATTTGAAGGACAATGAGTGCTATACTTGTTTGAGTTTGATGACTGAGTAAAATAGCTTGATTCCTATTTTCTGACTCTTGTCGTTTAAGTCATGTGACTTTGTTTAAGGGACTAATTCAACAAAACCTTCCCCTCAAACAAGTAGGGGCCGGCCACTAAACCAACAAGTGTTGCGCAACACCCTGATTTACTGCTTAATGTGAAACGAAACTTTGGGAAAGCAGTGGGAAAGCAGCGGGAATAAAGAAGTGAAACCTGTTTTCAGCCAGACTTTATAAGGAGAGACATTGAAGACACACACTTCACTTCAAGAGAGAAGCACATTTTCGACGACGTCACTTTAAACCAGTGAGGAGAAGGTAAATTGAGGATTTAGTACATTTAGCCTTTTAGGTTTTGTCTAACTTTTAATGCAAACATAATGTACGATTAAAACAAAACCGCTAACATAAGTTGTATTCCCTCTTAATGAATTGTTTAGCATGCATTAAGAACAAGAACAAAACCACGTTTCTACTGTTGTTCCTTTTCAAAACCATAAAAGGCATACATTTGAGTTATAAAGTGCTGCATATTTCTTCTTTGTTTCGTTGTCTTGTCTGCATCAGACACTGGGGGGGCTGAAAATGCTCGTACACCGAAACCTACTTGCTCTGTGGCTTCTGCTACTTCTCCATGTGTCTGGAAGCGCAGCCAGATTTAACCTCTTTGGTGAGTCATCCAAAGCGTCTCATTCGTGTGAAGATAACACAATTCCCACATGTTTTACCTTGAAATAAAATGCATGCAAAGGATACAGTCCTAATAATATACTAGTTTCATTGTGTATGTGCAATCCAGGAAATGCCTTTCATAGTTTTCAATGTGTGTGTGCGTATGTGTGTGTATATAATCTATGCGGACCCCCGCTCACTCACACAGTCCGTCGATTATCCAGATGTTTGCACAACCTCTCTGCTGTCACGGCCTCGGTTTAACATGGCGACCCTGTTGTCCTACAGCCCACAAAAAGAACCCCGTGCCGCGGGAAGGCGACGTGAGGCTGTTTGGCGGCGGTGTCGCCGACGGCCGCGTGGAGGTCTACCACGAGGGTCAGTGGGGAACGGTGTGCGACGACGGCTGGGACCTGGCCGAGGCCCGGGTGGTCTGTCGTCAGCTCCGCTTCCCCGGAGCTCGCTCAGTTGTCATTGGGAAGGACTACGGCACAGGTGCGCTGTACTTCCACGTATCGACCACCAGAGGGCAGTGACATTGTTGTAATGAGGAGCCTTGGGTTTGAACAACGAACGCCACAAACCAAGGCCACGAGGTCACTGTTTTAATGCGTGAGTGTGGTTCCCTCTCTCATTCCTACAGCGCCCGGACCTATTTGGCTGGACGATCTCAAATGTCAAGGCACGGAGAACTACGTCTCCACGTGCGCTTTCAAAAGCTGGGGGACGACCGACTGCAGCCACAAAGAGGACGTTGGAGTCATTTGTGAATCGAGCGGTACGTATGAAACTCTCTTCGGGACCCTCTCTCCCTCTATCCAAATGTTTACCCCGTTGCCTTGTGGTTCCAGGCTCAAACGCGACCGACGGTAATTCGACGTACTCGCTGGACCACAGCATCAGTCTGTCTGATGAGCGCGGCCAGATCTTTGACAGCGGGAGCGGCTGCGACTTCTCCATCTCGGTCATGACTGCCACCGGAAACACGGAGGAGGACGGCACGCCGGAGATGGCCAGCACAACGGTTTGCGCCCACAAAGCGATCCTCTCCCAATTCCCCCTCTTCAATGCCTCGGAGGGGACCGCCGGCATCACGGTCGACATCAGCCCGGCTTGCCAGCCGAACTTCTCCTCCTTCATCAGGTTTGAACTGAACTACAATGGTTTTAAGTTGCACAATTCTTGTTAACATCACCCAGGTGTGTAGTGAGCATGGAAATGGGACGCACGATCACTTGAATATAATCGACCCTCTTCAATTTCATTAGGTACATTTACACCCGCAAGATGGAGGTGACCTACTCCTCTGTGCAGTGCCTCCACTGGCTGGCTTCTAAGTTCGGGGTGAAGCAGCTGATGGAGGACACAGGCCGTCTGTTCACTCAAATCCTCCCAGAGGACGCCTCGTTCCACACGCAGGTGTCCCTGTACGAATATGCAGTGGAGACGGGGGACATTGTTCTCCAGGAGAACTGTATTCAGTATCTGGCCTGGAACTACCAAAATCTGACAAGTTCCCCGGCTTGGACCCAACTCTCCGTCCAGCTCCTCGGAGCCCTTCTACTGCGCTCCGACCTGGTGGTGCCAGATGAATATTTTCTGCTTTGGAATGTGGAGAGCTGGATCAGAGAGAAGGGCGCCTCGATCAGTTCGGAGGCCCAGGTCGACCTGTTGAAGCGCATTCGTTTCCCCATGATCCCCGCCGAGGAACTCTACAACCTGGAGCCCAACTCTTCCCTCTACGCCACTCATGAGGCTATGTATCAGAAGAACCTCTTGAAAGCCTTCCAGTTTAATGTTCTGCTCTTCAGCAACCTGAAATCCAACCCAAAGTTCGACAAGGACGACGACGATTACCGCCCGAGGATCTACACCGCCGAGCCGTGGAGCACCACTATGACTCGCACCCAAAACCGCCGGATGCATTACAATCAATACGATCGTTACAATCAATACAATCAATACAATCAATTCAATCAATACAATCCTTCCTCCAAGGTAATCACCACACCTGTCCACAACAGCCTGATCTTCAAGAACAACAAGATCCAGTGGGAGGCAAATGTGTTCAACAACCAACAGGAATGTTCAAACCGAGGCGTGAGATGTGAGTCGTTCCCTTCAGCGAGGCTGGCGCCTCAAAGCAGTCTGACTGAATGGCGCCACATCCTCTTTCGTAATCGTCTCCTGCTGATGTGTCAAGGCACGTACATCTTTCAGGTGCAGGACTTCAAGAACAACATGGCTGTGAACGGGAGCCGGGTTCCTGCTTATCCCTGTCCCGATGACCAGTACACCCACCAGTTTGTGGTCAGACCGGAGTATGTCTGATCCAAAAGCTCAGCCGGGCTCAATATATTCTGGTTCTTTTGTCTTTGCTTCATAAATCTTGAATCTCCTGGCTGTGATTTGATTCATATGAATTTTCATTGACTGCTTTGTATTTTTAACGGCAAATAAATAAAGCAACATCAAGAAAGCAAAGCATTCTTCTCAGCGTCTGTCTGTTCCTAACGTCATGTTCATCCAGATGTGGCACACACAAAATGGCGAATAGGGCCACGTGAAATTGATCCTCAGACTGATTAACAGCCTGCTGGACACGGACCGGGGTTGTGCTCCCTCCTGAGCTTTATCTGTATCGGCTGTCATGATCTCAGCAATTTTGCTGCAGAAGCTGCCCAAAGAAGATGAGTTAATATGCATTCAGCAATTTTTCATTTTACTGAAAAACAGGAAAGAAATATTACATATTTGTGAAGGAGAAAAAAAGTGCACTGCAGTTCGGAATTTACTCGCTTCAACGTTTGTTAAATGAGGCCAAACAGCAGTTACAATACTTAGCAGAAAACCGACCACAAAAAGTAAGAAGTGAAATGTTCAAAATAAAGTCTTCCTGTCGCTGCTGGTTTCCCTGCAACTGCACGACAAAGCTTCAGTATTGTATCTCGCTGAAATAATTCAATTTCGGTTAATCATGGATGTAAAAAGTCCCATTCATTGAAAAAACTTTCCCTCCAAATGTAAAAAGCAAACTTCAAACACATCGGCTTCTATCAACATTATGAGGCATAACGGGTTATGGATGATATCAGTTTCCTCTTTGTGAATCACGCTTGTGTCTTCAAGTCCCGGCACACGACTGGCAGGCGAGTGTTTCATGCCTGGACAGCTGGGTTCAACGGTGACTCTGTGGTTTCTGAGAAGTGTGATGACTGTGGGCCTACCAAAGGATTTTATGATAAAAAAGATGACTGGTCAAAAGCCTCGGGAGTTTATTTCACTATCTCCGCGTGCAAAAACGACTCCTCCACATGCAATCGTGGGTCAGGACTCTGCAGACTCACAGCCAGAGGGGGGGAGAGTGCTGCAGAGGAATGAATCACAAGTAAGCCCGTGCCAGGTTACCTTCACCATGCGATGTCTCCACTCAGACGGAAAGAGGGAAAGTCATCACTTGTTTTCCCCGCCAGGAACATCTGGCTGTTATCTTTTATTATTGTGTAATTTTAGCACACAAATAATTGCCCCACACGGCACGACAGGCTGTGTTTGTCTGGGTTGCCCTGATTTTTTTTCATTCAATTTGGCGGGTTCTCCAGCATCAGCAGGCAGCCATTTTTGAGAATCAAAGGCCTTATAAGCCAATGCTTTGCTTCCTTTCCTGAGAAAAATCCCAGACACACAAAGTGAATAAGTGGGTGTTGAACGTGGTGTATTGTCTGGTGCATGAAGAGAGCCTGGTGGAGTTTAAAGTCCCAGCGAGTCCTGTCCAGTGTTACCACATCCTTCTGCTTCTGTTCTGTGAGGTATTGCACAAGGAAACTAGATATTAACTAAAGGAGGAATATATTTATGCATGAAAAGTTACACATTCACTGTGATAGCGTTTATTGTTTTGTTTAAAATCATTATTGTTTTGTTTAAAATCATAATGGCAATAATAAGCAAAGATCTTTGGATTATAAAATAAATATACAAATACATAAATGATTGCCTTGGATAAATAATGAATTCTGTGGTGGAAATTGCCCAAGTCATTCCATAGCATTGTAGAGGAAACAACAATCAGTTTTTGTTACCACATGACTTTTTTGCAAAAAAGTGAGAGTCCCGGTACATTCAATGATTTCTCTGACGGGCAACATTTCCACATTTCCACAACCGCTGACCAGATTTTGCGTGCGTTTGCTGGCCAACTCATGGTGAATCACTGCGACATCGTGACCCCTTACACGCACACAGCGCGGACAATTTGACCTCAGAGTCTCCGGTCCCACTTGTGCTTTTCAGCCCTGAGGTGAATTGACCACAGCTGATTCATCCTCTCACATTGTCACTAATAAAATCGGAATAGCCGCGCACCTGGAAAAAGATGTGGGTTACATCACAACGGGGGATGGCAGAGAGGAAGGGGGGGGGCGGTCGAAGGAGCCATTGGTCGGGTCATGAGATGTGTGCAGGCACTATGGGGCCGAGGAGGTGGGAGTAGGAGGATGTGGGTCACTGCCACAGCGCCCACCAGTTCCCGCAATGAGACCCTCTTTTTTTCCATCCTACCGGGCACCTCCTTTTGAGAGTATTCCTGGCCTTGCAAGCCTATAATTTAGGGGATATACGGCCATTCCTGAGCCCCTTTTGGAGTTTGTAGTGGCTGCAAAGAACACAGGGGGGGGCTTGCTTACGTTGCAATTCTTGGACAAATCTGCCCTCTCTCAACAAATTAAAACCAAATGTTGATACAGTAACCCAGGTCTTAACTGACGAATAGAACTTTTTCCTAGAGGGGGGAGTTGCAGTGTGGGAAACAGCTCGTGCTGTGAGGTCATCAGAAATATGCTCAGGAGCCGGGGGACACGGCGATCTGAGCGCAGGCCGCCACACCGGGCAGCATCTCAGTGCAAAGGAAGCCGATTGTTTGGACAGGGGAGGGGGGAGAATGCGTCTGCTGTTCCTCGGACGCTTTTTTTTGGCAAACGGCGGAAAGAGACGCCAGACGCATTTCTACTCATGTACCGCCTCGGATGTGTCACTTCTTGTTTTAATGTGTCTTACTTCCTGTCCCACCCCTAACGACTGTGTTGTTGTCATTGTTCTGTCTCCTGTATCTGTTAAACTTACGCTCGGCTTACGAGTCACACCAGGGTTGCAAAACTTTGGGCAATTTGGGAATTTTCCTTATCGGACTGACGCCCTCCTCGCTCCCAAAGGGAATGAATGCTCTCACTCTCTTTCCCGGATAGCTTTCACACAGAAGTCAAGTGGGCTAAGCCGCACGGCAAGAAGGCGTAGAAGAGTGGAAATATTTGCCGGAGAGCGGCCGGAAGACCGGCTTTCAACGGGCCAAAATATGATGTCAGGGAGGAAGCCACAGAAGACACAGTCCTCTCTCGCGCTCCTTCTTGAGTCCTCGGCATTACTCAGCACCGGCTCCAATCATCAAACGCGCCACGCCCTCGCCGCCATCGCTTCTTGTTCTAAGCCAGAATCAACACGTGAGGCCCAAAACTCTCGAGATTCTGAGGTCCTTTTGCAGCGGCAAACTTTCCAGCTAAGGAGCCATCTATTTTTTGTTGTTGTGCATGAGTGAGGGATGAGGAACCACTCAAGAATTTGACTGTTGCCTAATGTTTATTTCACCTAAGAGCAGAGGGGGCTTGGGCAGCATATGGTTAGGAGAATTGCCCCAGGTTGAATCTATTAAATCCAGGGGGATGATGTCACTCCTCTGCCCTTCCCCTCCAGCTCTCTCCTAATTCCATGATCCGAAACCAACAGTGTTTCACAGTTACTGAAAATGACCCTGGCTGCATGAGGCCGGACGATTACTCGACAGGACTCGCGCCATCATCCAAAAAACGTTCAAATGAATGTCAACAGAGACGTTGAAATGAGCAATGTTTCAATGGTGAGAACTGTTTTAGTCACCGCTCTCACGGCAAGATGTTCTGCCTCTATTTTCAATGAATGATCTCCAAATTCACCACTACACCGACTACATGCTCAGCATCAAACAGGAGAAAAAACATGGCTGGTGGCAAGCTGGGGAACAATATAGATATATAGATATATGTAAACGGTTGGTTGAGATCCAATTTACCAAGTTCATCAGTGGCATGACACAAAAATCCAGGTAAATGATGACGTTTCTCCCTAAAAGCCAGAAGCTGCTGTTTGCTGACGAAGCTAAACATCTCAACTCAAACGCTGAGATGCCAGTATTGTGTTAACAGCTTCCCTCTGCTGTTGCCGAAGGATGCAAACAATTAGGCTTGTACAAGAAAGGGAAGAACCACAAATCATACTGAAACTACATACAAATGTTCCGACTTGTAGTGTCTTCACAACTGTGGTAAGATGTTGAAAGGTCAGAGTTACCACAGAGAGGGCGCCTCAATGTAAAAGGTCAGATGGAGGTGAGTCCAGATATTTACTTCCATTAAACAAATCCTGAGGGAGAAGTGATTGGTAGCACGGTCACGTCTGTGTGCTAAGTAACAGCGGGGGGAACCTGGTTGTCTTTGTGTGTGTGTGTGGGGGGGGGGATAACTAGTTCTTATCTCTCAGAAGTTGCAAATGCAAACAGGAAGATGAAACAGCCTACCACATATCATATCATCTCTGAAATGCAACAAATTTTATTTTGTTTACTTGTTTGTTGTACTGATTAAACTAACAAGATCAAGAGTGTCAATTACAGTAGCTGGCTTTAGAGTTGCTGGTTGGATGATTTTAACTCTATTTGTTTGTTTAAAATGGGGTCAACGGTGGCGCATGGGCAGAGAGGAACCAGGAACCACAAGGTTGGCTGTTTGAGTGCCGGCTGCTCCATGTCTCCAACCCCTAATTGCTCCCCTAATTGGCAAAAATGTGAAAGGCCATGGGTCAAAAATGCAATGTAAGTTGCTTTGGATAAAAAGAGACGTGATGGCCGTTACACTGTTACACTGTTATTGATAACAGGCTGCTGGCTGTAGATTCATATTCACCAAACATACACAACAGCATCAATCTTCTAATCCAATGCACAAAGAGGCATTAAAAGGAAACTTTCCTAACTTATTTGGGAAGAGTATACATTTAGGGGGGAGCGTTTCTTTCTTACTCCAAATCAAGGTATCAACAAGTATTTTGTATGTTGTGCAGGTTGTGAAGCCCCCTGAGGCAAATTTGTGAGTTGTGACACTGTATGAATGTATGAATGAATATGAATTACACTGTATGAATACAATTGAATTTGAATGTGTTTTTAACACATTAAACAGCACCGCGTCACTGTTTGTGATCCATCACCATTATATAAATAGTAATTTTGCTGATTTCATAAACACAATTATACATTGACGACAACTTTTTTTCGATGAAAGGTTATAATTTAAGTTTAAACTGAGTTTAATTTGCATTAATATGTGTTATCTGCGGGGACTGGAGAAGGGAAAAGTCCAAGGTCAAGTCGTGCGCGTGTGCGCGCGTGCGGTCGAGGTCACTCGCGATCCTCCACCCTCGCCGTGCAAACAGCATTGCGACAGAAGGTGACGACGAGGTTAGGCGGGCGGCTGAGGCAACTCCCGGCAGCCTCTGACCTCCGCAGCTCATTGGCTGCGCCCCCGGCGGGGGGGAGGAGCCGGCCGCCAGCCCGCCTCCATAAAACGCGGCTGGCCGCTCATCCCGGTGCAGTTGGAAGCGCGACCCGAAGCAACAAGTCCCGCCGAGCTTTCTGAGTGCGACCCTCTCGTGTCCTGCGCATCTCATCCACTGACGGGCGGCGTCTCATAGCAGCTTAGATCGGGGGACGTTTTTCGGTGTCATCTTCCTTGTGTCTCTAGTCTGCTCAGCATTCGTTTATTTCCCACCCCGTCAAATCCCCTCAAATTAAACCGTTTTCCGAGATGACCTGGACGGCGAACAGTGGTCTGGCCACTCTGGTCATCCTGTTTCTGTGGCGAGTGGATGAGATAGCAGAAGCCTGCAGCTGCTCCCCTGCGCATCCTCAGCAGGCGTTTTGCAACTCCGACGTCGGTAAGTTAACTCACGAGTAATCGATGTAAAATCAAGATTTAGTCTCGATTCGTTTGAAAATAAGATATTTTTTTAATGTATTTGATTTTTTTTTTGTGTGTGTGTGTGAAAGAAACTGTAAAGAGGGAAACTTTCCCTACTCTAGTGTTTACAATTATAGGGGAAGGAGGGAGGAATGTCGCTCATCTTATTTCCACTGCCCTCCTCTTTTTCCTCCTTCTGTCTCGACTCATCTGGTTAATCAGACATATAACCAGTGGAGGAATTGAATTATGCAAGAAAAACTCCACTCCAGTGAGTGTTTTTCTTTTTGTGCTTCTTTATACTGCTTCTCCACTACATCTCAGAGGGACATTTGTCTGAGCGCTTATTGTGGCTGAATTGAACTTTGAATGTGATGAAGTGATGGTGATCCTGTAGAATTGTCCTTCTTCTTAAAAAAACAAAACAGAAAAAAAACCTTCTTGGATCAGCTAAAAATAAGCATCTTCACAAAGCTGAGAACTGGGCTGTTTTTCTAACGCTCATGGGAAGTTGACCTTTAAGTAATGCGTGGTTGTCATATGATGATTTTATAGAATTGGGAGAATCGCAGCAGATGATTTTAAACAATATAACTGTAGGAATTAGCAAAATTAACCTTAAACACCTACGGCAGTAATGCATCAGCATTATCGCTCCATATAAAAGTGTAAAACACTGACAGGGAACTTTAAACGTTTATTTGAAGATGTGTTGCTATATAAAAATGGACCAAAGAACATCCATCCATCCATTGTCAAACCGCTTATCCTGCACACAGGATATTTCAAACAGTTCTTACACGCTCGCTTGCAGAAGCATGTTTGCCACTTTGTTGCCCGTTTATTGAGGCCGATCAGAGTTTTTGTTCTCACACATTGTGCGATAAACAGCTCAGACGTGGTTGTACATGTTTTATCGTGATGACTGAACTGCGGATCAAGTAATACAGAAAATACATGATCATCCTCAACTTGAGAGCTTTATAGTGCACTTCCTTAACGAATGCTAAATGGCAATTTGATTTGCCCTTTCCCAAAGGTCACATTGATATTTTCCCTCTCATTTTTTTTCTTGCCTATTACAAAACACCGCCTGTTGCTGCCTTTTAGCCTGGAGCTAAAGAGAGTCTTAACAGTGACCAGCCTGTGCAGCTATTTGAATTAGTGGTTTGCTGAGGGTCTTTTTTCTTGGTTGTGGGCTGGCTGCGTGTGTGGTATGTGTACAGACGCTAGTTTATTCAAAGGTTTCTCTTTACCATTGGATTCCATGACTCTGGAGGGTAAAGAAACCGCATTATCCGTCACGCCGGATAGTTTTCTGTAATGGAAAGTCCGGATTTATCAGAAGTTCCTTTTACTTTTTTTGTTGGGATGAATTAAAAGTTGCCTCTATTCAAGGGCAGCCACATAACGAAAGACACACACAAAGCGTGAAGGATGTTGGTTAGTTAAGGAGGAAATGTAACTTTAGCATTTGTTGTAAAAGAGCATAGCCGGCCACTGCTAATAACAATATTATTAATAATAATAAAAACACAAAAAGTATTACATTTGTCTTACTTAATGAAACAGAGACGTAATTCATGTCATGAGTTTTCCAAAACAGAACTACAACAGAAGGGAACAAGGCTTTCCATCATTTGGTTAGGTGACTCTTTACTAAACTAGACATAAAGACAACCATTGCTAGCGCTCTGCACGCCAGAGAAACTTTAGTTCCTGGTGTACTCTTCTCTGCACCGTAACTCAAAAGTTATTGGCCTACACCCAATATAATGGAGTGTCTATTTCCTAATTGGCCATTTACAACCTGCCAAGTTAAATATATCGTACTTCCTTTTAGTTTTCCGCCAGAAAGCGCCATCTGATTTAGCGGTAGTAGTAATAGTAGTAGGCGGTGGTAGGAGGAGGGACAAAGTAGGTTTTTGATGGATGCTTCGGGTATTTTCCCCTGGTTCAGCTTATAGGCATCAACACTACTGGGTTAGGTTTAGGAAAATGACACGTATGCCTACAATACATGCACGTGTAGTATCTATTGTGTGTCAGGGTTTAGCCCAAATTGCATCTGCCATGGAGTAACGGTATTTCCCTGCGGTTACTGCTCGGTGAGACATCGCCTTGAGGAAGCCCTACGCGCTGTCAGATAGTTTGCTGAAGTGAAAGTGCTACTTGCGTTGCATAAACGTGGGGTCACAGCGTCACAAACTTAAAAATGGGGAAGAACAGTTCAATTCAGCCGAAACTAGGCATCTGTGGTGGATCGTTAAATTAGTGGGCCCCCAAAACTTCCGTTTTTGAAGAAGAGCTTTTACTTGATGAAGTATTCTCCTTGTGGGAGTCAACATCAAGATGCAGTGAAGAACAGCGGTAGATGTGGAGGTCAAAATCCATGATGAAAAAGTCAGATTAAAAGAAAAGTGTAGTTTGCACCTCTGCTCAGCAGTCACTTATTTCTCTCTCCATAAATTGGACAAAATAAACATTTTACCAGGTCAGTTCTGGTTGTAAACATGTTGTTCCATTGGTTTTCCCTCAAAACGGAGCATAAACGAAAAAAAGAAAGAAAAAAGATTTCCCCCCCATAAATTGAAATCCATCCCGTGGGTCCTCGGCTGAGGCAGAGGAATGTCATATGCTCCGCTCGTTAGTTTCCACTTTTATTTCACAAATCTCTGCGATTGTAGACCTGTGAACAAGAAGGATATTGAGTTATTGAATGGAAGCCAGTTTTCTAACGTTACTTCCACTACTACCGTGTGCTGTCAGTCATTAAAACCCAAGCATCAGCTGTGATAATGCACTGATGGAGCTGGGAATTGTTTTAAATAAAGGAAAAGGATGATGGAAAGGTGGATTTGTGGACACGTGCAAAAGCAAAGGAGTCCATTTAAATCTGTAATCTCTAGTCTGACCACCTTGTTAATGGATGTAAAGGCCCTGTAAATACATGACATGTATTTGCTTTCATGTCGTTTTCTGTTTTTCAAAGCACTTCAAGGATCACAATACTAACTAGTAACTAGAAAAGGAAATAGTTCCCTTAGTCCCCAGTTTTCTGCGCCATGATTATTTTAGTTCTTTTATTCCCAGAAAACCTATTCATATTTTTCTGAGAATCAGACGTTATATCACAGGCAATCATATATAGATTACCTTAGAATAAAACACACCATGCCACCTCAAGGAAAACCTAATATAGTTGTGATTCAGTGTAATTGACATTGGAGTCTTTTTAAGCCAAACCCAAATCACTAATGGGGGGAAAGTCTCTTTTTTTCAGCATGTCGAATGCAATGTAAACCCTGTGCATATTCTAAACTGCTCTACTTCACACTAGTAGTGCTGATTGATCTGTGTGCAGGATCTCAAAAACAGATCCATCAGCTCTACTAGTGTGAAGTAGCGCATGTACAGCGTGTTTGTCATTGTTTGCGTTGCTCCAATGCAGCTTTGCGGCCTGCACAAGCGACCTTTCCCTTTCCCAGCTACAGACAAAACCCGACCGCCCTCGTCACTCCATCACTCTCCCCGTCCATGCACACACACACACGCACACGCACACGCACACGCACACACTCACACTCACTCTCCTTTTTTCACAGTTTCTATTTCTACGGGTCGCGTGTTTAGACCCTTAAAAGGAGTTGTTCTCTAAGCCTCTAATTGTCATCAAATTAGGGCACATGTGGCTCGCAGCTCCGTACCTCCATCGTATGAAAAGGGCAAATGAAAAGGCTTGATCTTATTTGGCGGTGGTCCTGAGCAGCCGGTAGATGCAACTTTGAGAAGGCAGGGACTTAATCTGTGACTTCAGGCGGAACATCTGGTCAGCATTAAATCTGTCGCTATTAGCCTTCGCTCAAAAGCTTGATTTTTTTTTTTATGTGATTTTAGTATGTAAGGTAGTCCCGCAAACGATGCAATAACCGCCATGTTTTTTAAGCACATATTTCTGTGTGGAACACTGGATATTTGAGCTTGAATGCTCGTCGGTATGCCTCTGATGATGTTTTTCCACTTGAACCGTTATATTTTTTTCCCCCCCGTCCAAAGCTCCCTGAAACTGTAAGCTGGAACCTCAGAGTGCGAGAGAGAGAGAGAGAGAGAGAGAGAGAGAGAGAGAGACCCTTTCAAAAGATTGCTGACTGGCTTCCTCCTGCGTCGGCCCAGGAGCAGCACGCATTCCTCCCTCTGATTGCAGCTGATGAAACACTCATGTTGCCTCTGTCTTCCCAGTACCTAGCACATGCAAGCTCCTCGTATCCAAAGCCGCAGCAATGTGTTGTTGCTGACTGCAGCAAACACGCCGAGGGCCCACATCAGATGACAGACCCGGATCACGTGGGCTTTTTCCATGACTTTGAAACTCTGTCTTCAATCACAGCGAATTCAAATGTGGGTTGTTGTTTTTTTTTCTTCACTTCACAGTTATCAAGGCAAAGGTGGTTGGAAGGCATGCGGTTGACGTCGGCAACGACATCTATGGAAACCCCGTCAAGCAGATCAAATATGACCTCAAACAAATCAAGGTGTGTTGGATAAAGCTGACGTCTTCATGTCAAAACGTTGTTGTGGTTTTTTTGGCCATATGAATCTAAACGCTCTGTTCTCTGCTTGAATTGTCAGATGTTCAAAGGTCCCACCCAGGATTTTGACGCCATGTACACGCCTCCCATCTCGGCGTTGTGCGGGGTGACTCTTGAAAACGATGGCAAGGAGTATCTTATCACAGGTACAACTTTTACCGCGTCTCAAATCACATTACATTACATTACATTACATTACAGGTCATTTAGCAGACGCTTTTATCCAAAGCGACTTACATTACACTTTAAACCCGTGGCTTTTCACATTTTTGCCCAGGGAGCAATTAGGGGTTAGGTGTCTTGCTCAGGGACACTTCGACATGGAACATGGGGCAGCCTGGAATCGAACCACCAACCTTGTGCTTCCCAGCATACCTTCTCTAACCCCTGCGCCCCGACGATCACCATTTTCCCTTAAATGCATCGTCTCACGTTAGGCCTCCATGTCATCGAATGCACTTCTCTTCCTCTTCAGGCAAACTGGAGACTGACGGGACGATGCACGTCACGCTGTGTGACTTCATTCATCCCTGGGAGGCCCTGAGCGCCACCCAGAAGAAGAGCCTGACCCAGCGCTATGAAATGGGCTGCGATTGCAAGGTAGAAATACGAGTGCGAACAAAAAGTCATCCGGAGAGATGGACCGTTTGTTGTCATTTGGATCCCTGATGTTTGCCCGTTCTCCGGCCCTCAGATCACCCGCTGCACCTCCATCCCCTGCATGATCAGCGGCCCGGCGGAGTGCCTGTGGACGGACTGGGTGATAGAGAGGACGGTCAACGGAGGGCAGGCCAAACACTTTGCCTGCGTCAAGAGGAGCGACGACTCTTGCGCCTGGTACAGAGGAGAGGCGTCACCCAAAAAGGATTTCCTGGACATCGAAGACCCTTAACTCCACCACCGACCAGCAGTCCAAACATATCTAAGATATAATGCGATACAAATACCCAAAAAAATACACAAATAAATCCTCTTCCTTTTTTTGTTAATAAGGTCTCTATGTGGAGGTTGTTTTAATTTACAGCACTCGTTATGTGTTTAATCAACAGTCTTGCAGCACTTTCAGAAACTCGTAGGCCTAAATCCAAAGCACTTCCTCAAAAACCACTCGTCCGTCAGCTGAAATAAGCAGATAATCATCACAATCAGTAATGCTGTTTTGGTTCTCTATTTTTAGCTTGTCAGCCAAAAGGTATTTTTTTAAGTGAACTAGAATTCCTATAATATAATACCAAGAGTGTAACAATTCACTGAATCGGTTGGTTCAGGTATAGTAATAATAATACGTGGCAATTGGCGCCCTGATTTTTGACAGCAGAGCCATCACAATAATAATACTACTATTCCCAACTATACACACGTCTTCTTCTTTCCTTGATGTGACGAACCTGTTTCGATGAAGCACAATCAGCGCTTATGCTAATGTTTTCTTTAAATAATCCTGAACAGACAAGAATTCACTTTGAACACAATTGTCAGAGCAGTCATATTGTCTCTAATGTAACTTTTCTGGAAAGGAGGATTGAATCCTCCATTTTGTACTTATTTTTTTTAATATTACAGCTGTCCTCTTTGTAATGCTTTAGCATTAGAACCTATTTTATTTAAGAGGGTTAAATGATTTATCACATTCTGTTGAGAAAAAAGAGATCAATTGTGGGCCTGACTGATTGGTTTAAGATATTGTAACCAATCATCTCTTTGCTTGCAGAGCCTTTTATGTGACCAGAAAAGTGTTGAGCAAATGCCATGTGACTTTGATAATTATTATGAGAGCGTAAAAAAAGGTTCTTCATTTGAAACTGTACTAATATGACGCCTTGTGCTGGTTTCACGTGAGACATTTGAGACGCTCTTTTGCATGAAACAATACTGTACCTTTTGACTATTACATTAAATGTCAAACCCTGTTTAGATATCTTGCATGTGTTCTTTTTTTTTTACATCAATGCTTATTGTGTGCAGATTGACAAGACTCAACTTCATTAAAGAATCAGCATGGCTTTGTTTGCTGGTTGTGTACAGGACCCAGACAGGCACAAAATGTGCAGAAGCCAAGAGAAGGATAAACAAACAAATACATCTCAGTGTCATGTATAATCTGTGTTTTTACACAGTATTAAAAGAGACTTAAAGGCAGGGACATCGACTACTGTGACACTAAAAAGAGCAATCTGCTGCCGCTTAGTGGAAACATCATAATCTGACATTTCACACACATTCCTTCACGAGCCCATCCACGTGACCAAACACGTAATCATCGCAATGACCGTCGGGGATTTCACGATTATGAAATTAGTTGAGTTAATTGCGGTAAATAGTCCCGCTAGATACCGCGTTCATTTAAATGTGTGCAAGGATGAAATTCAACCGCAATGTTTTCCCAGATGCTACTGTAAGTGGACTCCATCGTCATTATTATCGACGATTAAATTAGAATTAAAAATTAAAATGTGTAGGAGATTTGCAAGCATGATGAACTACTACTTTAAAAAAAAAAATCACTAGCAATACCGGAATTAAACCGAGGGAAGCAATTATCAATGGAAGTTGAGCGAATGGCTATGCTTAAAGCATCGAGATGCAGGACTAACATAGCTGCAGCATACAATTTATTGGTGCCCTTTGTTATAACATTAAAAACTGTTTACACAACCCCATTCATGAATCCCAGTGATAACGCCGACCTGAAGCCGCTTTTGGCTTCCTCCCGACAGAGCTGCCCCACTCTCAGCTCTGATTGGCTGATCCTTTCAGCTAAGGCGTGATCCTCTCTCCGATTGGCCTTTCATCCCTGTCAGTCATTGTTGTCCCCGCCCTCTGATAATGCAGCATGGGCGAAAATACCAGACCCAAGAGCTACAGCTGAGGAAACGGACTCCTGTACAATCAACGTTTTCACGCGATTGATCGAAAGGTGAGCGAAAAAAACGCATTTGTAGTGTAGCCAATATCTGTTAGCATATATTTACAAGATAATGTGGTGAAACAAACAGGCGGGATATGCCTGCTGGGGATGTGTTAGCCACCCGGGCGCCGAGATGCTAACCCACATTGCAACCTAGAGGCTCTCGCCACGTTAAGTTAGCTCGGTGGCTAATTTGCTGCTGCTACCGTCCAGCGTAAAAATACCGTAAACGACAGAACGCGCGGCACAGTCACCACTCCGCACCACCAATATCGATCTAACACAGAAGGGTGTATGTGTATCGAAGTAATGACGACGTTTTGTCTCCAAACGCGGGACCGTCCAAGTTGACATTACCGTTAGCTGTGGTCGGTGTTAGCAACCTAGCATTCAAGCTACGTTGAGTGGCCCGGGCTGGTGTACGGAGGCTTGCCCCGGCCGGTGGAGTCGATGACGACAAATTGCGACCCAGCAGAGCTGTAGATCCTCCGCAACGGGAACTTGGGTAACGTTAGTTGTCTAACGAAGCAACAACCATGCAGCGCTTTTTAGAAGTGACAGCAATAGCTGTGCTGCCTTCAGGTGCTCCCTATAAAATCCATCTTTTGCCTTTTTTGTGACCGAGTTGGTTATTACTGTACGAAAACAGCCCGAGCTTTTATCATGCTGTGGTTCATTTAAGCATTGACTTGTCCCGCAACTCTGTCTATTTAGTTAGCAAGCCTGTGAAAAAAAACATTACAATGCTTCAAAACAGAACAGTCATAAATCGCCACAGTTTTAGCTTTTACTTGAAAAAATGTCTTAACTATTTTCATAAATTATTCATATTTTTTCAGCTGAATCGAGTAACCCGACTAATAGTTTCGTCCCTATTTTTTGTCTGCCCACATGGTTATTTTATGTCTAGATGGTGTCTCCAGTAGAGACATTGGTCTGATGCATTTTCAAAATGCATTTGTTGCTAAATTGTAAATGCGGATCAGGGTCTTTTTACTAGTCAACATATTTTGACACCGACACGTTTATTCTATTTTGTTTTTTCCAATCATCTTATTAACTGTACTGTGTCAGAACCTGAGGATAATAGGATTTCTTTGCTGACGTTTGACCTGCAGGGTCCAATGTTGACAACTCCGCAGATGTAAATAAGCAAGTTTTATGAGATGAAAGGAGCAGAAGGAGCGAAATAGGCTTCTTTTTTTGAACCAGTGCCAAGAGAGGACATGACAATGAGACATATGGTCATGTTCACATTGAGAGGTCATTACGTATGCAACACACAGCATTTGCTGGAAATGGTTTACCTCGAGATAATGGCTGCACCTGGATGCAGAACTCGTGAGATGACAGTGTTCTATGGAATTAGGACCATTTGAAGTCCTTTTTTAAAATGGTTCACATCTGTGACATCTTTTGGGATTTCAAATTTGCAAATATCCAACCAGTCGTCTTAAAATCCAAACGAGGCGTACAGTGTGTTGTTCGAATGTATGTAAGCTGGAGTTGACCTATTGCACCACACATGTGGACAATAGCACTTATTGGCTGACTTATCACTGCTGGCTCATATAACATAAAACAACAAAAATGTCCCTTTCGTGACTGTTCAGGTTACAAACGCAAACATAAAAATGAATATTTTGGTGTGTTTTGTACACGTTAGTTACTATATAATGGGGCAATAAGGCAAATAAGCTGCTGTGGTCAATGCAATGCTATTGCCGCCCGGTCAATCAGTTGCATCCCTGCAGTTATCGGTGTCGTCGTGGGTTCCAGCATTTATGGTTTCTATCCGGATCCGCAGCACGTGAAGGTCAGTGTGCCCTTGTGCATACAATGCATGGCGAGCCCTCCTTCCCTCTCCCTGACGTCACTGCCCACTCTGACGAGCAGGGCTCTCACAGCGCTCCGTGCCTTCGGCGCTTTAGTGTCGTGCTACTTTAACGTCTTCGCGGTGTAATGCTCTCACAAGGAACCAGGGCTGGCTCGATGATGTCTCGACTGCGTCCTTATCACAGTGGCACACTGATTTATTCACTCATCCCTCGGTCAGCATTGAGCAAGATTCGCCAGGCTGCTGCCGTTTTTTTTTTTTGTATAAAGTGACCCGTCAGTGGTCCATCTGTGGGCTGATTGGCAGACGGCTGTTGTTATCTGCAGGGAAATGCTCCTGGTCCACTCAGACTCGAAGGGGACGACTGAACGGCTCTCATACCACTGGTAACATGATGGTGACAACTTTTGATGACACATGGCTTTACTGAAGGCACATGTCAATTGGGGATAACAATAAAAAAAACAAAACATGAATGCAATCCGAATAACCGCTAACAATTTTTTGCTGGCATTGAACTGTTTACGGCTCATGTGCTCTAATGTTTGTCCTCTAATCTCATCGCCGGCCCTCGCTACGGTACATTACCAAAGCCTGCTGTCTTTCATAACCGTGGGGGCGGCTGCCAAGACCCAGTTGGCACCTCGGATGCACACGGTCCTGATATCTCTCGTGGAGCCACGTCATGATGTGTGGCCTTGAAAGGCCGTTATTAAGCACTTAAATTATATATTAGTAATAGAACAAGCCAGTCGTCGTACTGTTGGGTTCGTTTCGAATAGTGTCTTTCTAATAAGATCGTATGGGATTGGTCCTTTTGGGGGAAATGTTTGGCGTAGTGACAAGTTCTGACGCTGACTCTCAATCCAACCTTCTCTGCAGTGATGTTCCAACAATGCCGATTGTGGATAAACTCAAAGAGGCGTTAAAACCTGGACGAAAGGAGACGGGCGATGAGGGGGACCTCAACAAACTCTTGGCTTCCTCTGCCAAGAAGGTCCTGCTGCAGAAGATCGAGTTTGAGCCAGCCAGCAAGGGTTTCTCCTATCAACTGGACAGCCTGAAGAACAAGTACGTGATCCTCAACCCCAGGAATGAGGGCGCTGCGGGGCAGAGGGCCACCGAGCCTGCCCAAATAAAGCGGCACGGTAAGCGAGTTTTTGGACCTGGACCCCTTTCCCCCCCACATTTCCCTTCTGCCCCCCTGCTGCTGTGCACGAAAGCCTCCGGGTCTGCCGTCCCGGTGGAAACCGCACGAGAATAAAAAGCACCGGTCCCTCAGTTTCAGAGAACACGGTCAGCGGCCAGAGCGACGGCATCCCGGCACCACAGAAGATGCTCTTCCCGGGCAGCAAGCTCGCCCTCAAGTGGGAGGGTGTGTACAGGGTGGGAGCCGGTCTCCACAACCTGGGGAACACCTGCTTCCTCAACTCCACGGTGCAGTGTCTCACCTACACCCCGCCACTCGCCAACTACTTGCTGTCCAAGGAGCACAGCCGCGCCTGTGAGTATTTTGAGTCGTATTGTTCTTAACGCTGCGCGAACCCACGTGGTTTTTAAAAGTACTGTAAAGCGGCGTGTGCAAATGCACGTGGCTGGAAAAAACGCCTGGATTGCAACCCAAAGCAGCCGAAGAAGCAAAAAAAAAAACCCAGCTGCTTCAGTTTGGCCGGTTTGTTTGCACAACAGAAACATTCAGCGGTCTGTGATTTACTGACTTATCTGTTCTTCCAAACCAATAAAGCGAAGATTCACTGGCCTCCGTTTCAGGGCTATAGGTGGTATTGTAAATTAGTAAGTACCCTAAATTATATATATTTATAAGCCTAGAGTAAGTGGCCCTTTTATCAAATATCTTATCAAATATTGTTTTACAGTACTAAAGCTTTTTTTTTTGTTTAAAAGGGCTTTGATTTGCCCACAATGTTATGAGTGGAAAACCGCCAGAAAAGAGTCTCCACAACCATCACACACACATATCTATGAATTCAATTAGCCTAATTCGACTTTCTTTGTTTTATAAAACATTTTATTGTGTTTCAACGGAACACCATCGTGTTTAATGAGCAGTGGGGCTTCACATTCTGGATCCCAGTACTGTCACAAGAACACGTTGCTGCTCTTCAATCCCCCCCGAGTGACTCTGATATTCTCGTCCTTGCCTGTGTTCAAGGTCACCAGTCGGGCTTCTGCATGATCTGCATCATGCAGAACCACATCATCCAAGCCTTCGCCAACACGGCCAACGCCATCAAGCCCGTCTCCTTCATCAGAGACCTGAAAAGTAAGATTTAAGATGAATTTTTCTTTTGGCCTGAGCAGGTCTGTGCCCGTGAGCCTGGACGCAGGTCGTGTCTCGAGTCACGGATGCCTGATTCTTGGTGTGGCGGCTGCGGTACGGGGCCACTCGCTGCAGTGCGAAGGGGGCCGCGTGCGTCTGAGCCCCCGTGTGGAGAGTAGCGAAGTGTGAGGCGCACCGGGACGCGCCGAGGTGCTGTAGTTTCACAGAGGCCTCCCCCACCCCCACCAACTACCTGCCTGCCTCCTTGTTTGGTCCGAATGTGCTGCGGCAATCATGCCCCCCCCTCCTGCGTCTTTTTTTCTTCTTTTTTCTACCTCTATCCCCCCCCCCCCGTTCACCCCTCCCCAATGCCCTCTCTGTCTCCTTGTGACTGCGGGCTGAGCAGCTTTAGCACAAAAATGTACAGTTCAGCTTTTCCCTTCCTTGTAACGCAGGAACGAGCGATGCGCTTTCTTTTCTTTTAGGGTTTCTCTTTAAATTCGTCAAAGCCAGTCGCTCGTCCCTCCCCTGACGTGAAAGAACGTAATGAAAAAGATCTGACTCGCTCGTGACCTCCCTCCTCCCTAAAAAAAAAAAAAAAAAACTGGTCAATGTCGTCAAAAGGGGTTACAGCAACATCTGGCTCCCTCATTTCTGAGAAGGGCCCTGAACATGTCATCGGAGCAGAGTGTGTTACTCCTCTCTGCCAGTCAAGTGTGACTCACTGAGTCGTTAATACGCCGGGATGCGATGCTGGGAATGTGAGGATGTGGGGGTGAGCTCATTATCCCAGCGGCTAACACTTTCCCATATTGCTGTTAGGAATTGACGGCGGAGGCAAAGGGTTTAGAGCAACAGTCTCTCTCATGTGAGGCTTTTAGACAAAGTCACTAAGTGACTGCGCGCCGCTTACGAGAGGCACAAGCGTCATTTTAAGCACCCTGACTAATCGAAGCCGCAATACACCGGCTACTCTGAATGCCTTTAGAAATACAGACGGGCCCGTTTTCCTTTATTGACGAGTACATTAGTAACATTAGCTGTCAGAGCATTTGATGTCAACCATTCATGCAATGACTTCAGTAATTAAAGTAGCTACGCATGGAAGATTGTAAGAAAGCCCTAAATGTATGTGAATGCCGGTGCTCTTGTGCAGAGCACAAAGATAACATCTAACCCGCTCTTGTCTCCCATAGAAATAGCCCGGCATTTTCGCTTTGGGAGCCAAGAGGACGCCCATGAGTTTTTGCGCTACACCATCGACGCCATGCAGAAAGCCTGTCTCAACGGCTACCCCAAGTAAGGCTCTACGCTGGCTCTTCAGGAGCGCTGAAACTCTCAGCGAGCAGTCAGCAGAATGTCAGGCAGCAGCTCGGAGTAAAGCGCTGAAGGATGTTTTGTGCCTTTTGCACCAGACTCTTTCTTGCTTAAGCTGCTGCCGCTTTGGCTCAAGCGGCAGAAAATAGATGTCTCGTTTTCTTTTTTTCTTCCCTGAATGTCTTTTTTGATTTTTCTTCCCGTCTGTAGGCTTGACCGGCAGACCCAGGCGACCACGTTGGTGCACCAGATCTTTGGAGGCTACCTCAGGTCAAGAGGTAACGCATTCCCCCAGAAAGAAAGAAGGAGAAAACCTCCACAGCTGTGCACTTTTTGTGACTTTCTATATATGTTGCTTTTGGTATTGCGTATTGATCAGTCGCCCATCAGACTAAACCAATGTTGGTGTTCACAAAATATACAATATGCCTAAAGCGGCCTGCTAAAGTTCACACATGCAGATTCAAAAGTAGCAGGATGTTTCTGTTACTAATGCTAATGTTATTCCAAAAGGGCCTTAACTGCTACCTAACCCGCCAAAAATAAATCAAATTAATCCTTTAAATTTCTCTACATCACATTACGTGCGGTTAGACTGACAGCGACAAGACCTGCATTGACCTTTCAGCTCATTGATACTTGACACATTTACCTCCGAGTGCTCGGGGATCTTAAGTTCAATCCGCACATGCATTCTCAAAAAAGGCAGTAGCTTTGAGTATTTTATGATGGTCCTATCCGAAATGTAAACATTGAGAATAATGCTAATATAATAATGAATGAAGGCGTGTTTGATGGGAGAGTAAGGGGCATTTGCTCTGAGGTTCTTGGCACTCTTGTGTTTACAGGAAGTGAAGCGGAGGCGGGTGAAACAGTCCTGTAATTGATGACATTACCATTGTGTTTCTTCAGAATCGGCCCCAAGAGAATCACATTTGTTTTTAATTGTGTCTTTCAGTGAAGTGCTCTATTTGTAAAAGTGTGTCAGACACATATGACCCTTACCTGGACATCGCTTTGGAGATTCGAGTACGTTACTCAAGATCTCAATCTAACTTTAAATACCATGGAAATATTATATAAATAATAAATATACATGTCCTATCCCTTCCTCTGCAACACCATGTGTCGCTCTGTTTTTGTCTGCCAGCAATCGGCGAATATTGTGCGAGCCCTGGAGCTGTTTGTTAAGCCTGACATGCTAAGTGGGGAGAATGCCTACATGTGTGCAAAGTAAGTGTAGTTTTATCTCCTCTGGCAGCATCGTAGAAAAAGCGCATGTTCGTTTTAACATGATTCATATTTCAAATCCTTGATTCTCGACAGGTGCAAAAAGAAGGTGCCGGCGACCAAGCGCTTCACGGTCCATCGGACGTCTAACGTGCTGACGCTTTCCCTCAAGAGGTTCGCCAACTTCAGCGGGGGGAAAATAACAAAGGTGCACAAGTGATTCTCACATTATCGACCGTTTGGGAAGAGCTGTCGGATTTTTCAGTAATTTCATATTCACGTCGACCTTTTTATTTATTTATTTATTTATTTTTTATTTTTTCAGGACGTCGGCTACCCAGAATTTCTGAACATCCGCCCCTACATGTCCCAGAGCTCAGGCGATCCTGTCATGTACGGCCTCTACGCGGTTCTGGTGCACTCCGGCTACAGTTGTCACGCTGGCCACTACTACTGCTACGTGAAGGTAAGACGAGCTGCAATACGCACGTCAAGATCTGAGGAAAAAACCCCTTGAGGTGAGCTGCGATGAGATTAGAAAGAGCAGCTTGTTGGTAGTGTGGTCGGGCGTAAATCAATAAAGATTTAATACATTTCACACCCTGCTCCATTTTGAAAGTGTTTTTTAATCTCTTTGTTGTTTCTTCTTAGGCAAGCAACGGACAGTGGTACCAAATGAATGATTCAATGGTGCACTGTAGTAACATCAAAGTGGTCTTGAACCAGCAGGCTTACGTGCTTTTCTATCTGAGGTGAGGCGCGTGAAATCAAACAAGACGTTGCCTGGATCCATAATTAAATAAAGCAGAGTCTGTATTTGTGTCGTCGCAGGATCCCCGAAAGCAAGAAAAACGCAGATGGACAGACCGCCAAGCACGGCATGTTGCATTCTGGGAAGAACAGCGTGTCCTCTGAACAGATAAGGAGGGCCAACCTGAACGGGCCCCTCTCCTCGCCGCAAGTCACCAAGGTAAAACTCCAGCTGACCTCCCTCCCTCCCCCCGCTCGCTCTCGCCGTTTGTGTTGATGCGTACCAGGGATCCTCATTACAACGCTCCTCTTTTCAGAAACTCGAGCCCGCGCACCTGCGTAAGATCCAGTCCGTGGATGGCGGCCTGGGCCTGCCCTTTGCCAGGAACGGGGTGAGCGCTCCGCCACAGCCCAGACTCTCCAGCTGGGCGTCCTCCTCCAACGGCCCACCGAAGATGCCCGGTGGGCCCGCGGTCATCGAGGAGCCCTTCAAGAAGCTGAAGAAGCCATCTCCCCAGGGGCAGGGGCAGGGGCCGGCGTCCCGGGGCATCGCCGCCGCGCCGCCCGCCAACAACGGGGTGGGCAGGGCGGAGGGAGACAAAAAGCAAGGTGGCGAGGGAAGGGGCATGTCGGCGTCTACCTCGTACAAGTCTTTGTCTGACTCTTCTTCTGCCGACACCACCGACTCGAAGGTAAGAATTTGCAGTGTGATGGAGGTATTTTTAATCATCTAATGATATCATGAAAACTTAAAACCTAGTGTGTCTTTAAGATGCTTACTAACTATTCATATTGCACACTTTCACGATGTGATTTATCCAGCTGCGCAGAAGCGTGACCGCGGCCTGTTTGCCCTTTTTTTTGTTTTCGTGCCAGGAATCTGCGGGTGCCAGGAGTGCGCCAGCGGGAGAGACTCCCTCCACCCCGCGGAAAAGCTCCAACGGCGTGGCGTCTCCGGCCAAATGCGCGGAGGAGCAGAAGACGGCGAAGATAAAAACCCCGGCTCTCAACAACATCACGTCCGAAGCCACCAGCGCCATGTCGCCGCCGCCGGCCAAGAAGCTGGCCCTGTCCGCCAAGAAGGTGAACTTCATACCCGTCCACAGCCGCCGCCGCCGGTGCCGCCGCAGCAGCGCCTCCGGTCTTAGCGAAAGCTCACACGTTGGTTTCCTGTTGCCTCACTCGACACTGCTTGTCCAAATTTGACCCTTGATTTCAGTTAGTAGTTTAATCAAGGCAAGTAAACCCTCCTTTTCTCGTTAGATTCTCTCCTGTGTGTAATGTGTAACTTCTCCGGTGTCCCGTCTAATCAACCACATGGTAGCACTTGTTTAGAGTTTGTCGTCGTCTTCTTTCAGTTTGTTCTTTTTTTCTAACCATTTCTAATTCTTCTCTGCCATACCCTCTCCTTTTTGTTTCCTCCCTCCATCTTTTCCCGTCATTCCTTTTTTTTTTTTTTTTTTTGATTGTTATTTTTGTCACATTCATGGCTATTTTTTTTTTTTTTTTTTGATTGTTATTTTTGTCACATTCATGGCTATTTTTTTTTTTTTTAGACCACCAAGTTTTTATTTATGTCAATAACTGCAGGCTCGCAGCCGGAGACCGAGCAGCATTGATGCTCCGCCCTCTTCGCCGCGCCAGCTGTCCAGTGACCCCACGCATCACAATCAACTTAACCCCTTCAACTCCGCCTCACCTAGTCACACTCACAGGTATGAACATCACACACACACACACACACACACACACACACACACACAGTGCCCCGGAAATGCAGGTCTGTCTTCCTCAAGCGCAAATCGTCCGGGTAAATCCAGATATTTTTCTTTTGTCGTCTCCTCAGAGCTGGTCCATTCCATTCACCTAAAGTCCAGTCATCGCCTTTTGCCCACTCAAGTGGATCCTTCAAACAGCAGAGCCCTCAGAAACAGTCCCTTCCCTCCTCACTGCAAAAACAACACGCCAGCCTTTCTATTAAGACCAACGGGCTTCACAGCGCCGGCCCCAAGAGCCCCAAGTCTTCCAACAACCTCAGCCACGTGGTCCAAGAACCAGACCTCAACAGCGCTCAAACGCTCGACGAAAGGAAGAAGAAGAAGAAGAAGAAAAAGAAGCGGCGCCATTCCGAGGTGGAGGCTGACCCAGAGCCAGAGGCTCCCCCGGCTCCGGTGGTGCAGACCCAGCCCCCGGAATCGGCCAACGAGAACAAGCGCAGGAAGAAAAAGAAAAGGCGAAAGACGGAGCTCGAAGACGGAGGGACAGTTGAGGAAAGGGAGTGCGTCCCGTCCCATCTAGACACATCAAACCAGGAAGAGGATTGGTGTCAGGGCGGCATATGGAGTCTAACGTCGCATCCAGGTACAGAACAGTCCGAGCCAAAACCCCAGTCGGCTTCCGCACCCCCAACGCAGCAGGAGTCGAGTCAGGAAGAACAGGGAAGGGAATCTTTCAAATCGAAGAAGAAGAAGAAAAAGAAAAAACAGCTGGTGGAGGTTCTGCAGGGGACGACTTCAGCGTGCTCTGCACCAGAAAGGTGGGTGGAACTGATGGACATTTTTGTCCAAAATGTGGAATTTTTAGACCGGGAGATAAAACTTTGTGTGTAACAGCCAGTTGACTTCTAGTAGCTCTAACAAAGCAGCGCGGCGCAATAAATTCACCACGCCTTTCATCCCCCATCAGCACTTCTGAGACGAAGATCGCCGCCACTCCGAATGATACGGGAGATTTGGAAACATTGAAAAAGGAATCTAAGGGGAAGAAGAAGAAAAAGAAGCGGCTAAAAGAAGAGGTTCGACTGTGGGAGGAGAGCAGGCGATGCTCCGACGGGCAGAGCGAGGAGCCCGAAGCAGCGGAGCCCCCCTCCAAAAAGAACCCCGCAGAAAACGGCGTAGTAAGGAAACACGGTCTAGGTATGCGAGCACACTCACAGCAATATTACACATGCAGCCATACAGCGTAAACTGCAGTGAGAAATAGGCAAGCTGGTTTCTATGCCAACACAAGACACAATGCCCGTCTGCATTGATTAGAGCCATCTGCCAATAACCGCTGCGCCACCACAGCTTCATTAATGTCCCCATTCCTTTCACCACTCTCCAAGAGAACATGGTCTATTGCAATTAAAGGATTCCAGATTTCCTTTTTTAAATTTATTTATTTATTTTTCTACCTTCCATTGTTTTCCATCCAGCCAAAGTGGTAGTTTGGGACAGCCACGTGAAGGACGGCTTCAAGCGCAGCCGGGTGCCCGCGGCTGATGGAAGTGGATCGGGAGACGCCCCGACTCCTGTGGGCTGGGACGGGAAGAAGACTAGTGGGGTGGTGGAGGAGCTGCTCAGAAACTCCTCAGACAAAGCCTACGGAGCCAGCGGTGAGACTCGCACACACACACACGTGACTTGGATCATTTCTTTGACAATTTGCAGCAGAAATATGTTTTTGTATGTGTTTTATAGTTGTTGTTTTTGTCTTCTCTAGTCCTCAGTTGGGACGGAGAGGTCTCTGCTATCAGTAGAGACGCGGCTGAAGATGTCCGCCACGCCAGGTGTGACACTGTGATCGATGAGTGGGATGAAGACTTTGATAGGGGAAAGGTGAGAGTACAAAAAGTAGATGAGAATAATGTATTGAATCAAAGTGTTTGTGTCTGTTAAACCTAAGGCTAAGCTCACTGTCCCTGAACCGTAACTTCTGTTTTGTTCAAATGAACAGGTAAAGAAAATGAAAAACTATAAGAAAGAGAAGTGGAGAAATAACGGCAGCATCTTCCAGAAGATCCAGGACCGGCGAAGCAAGTGGTCTGTGACACCTGGAGGAAAGCGGGGTTTTGGAGTCCGTCGATGAGAAGCTGTTGAAGTTGTGCTGATTGGAAATAGACAACAATACTGTATACCAAATGTCTGTACTTTTTCTTTTTTGTTTTCCTTTTTATGTTTTAATTCCTGAAATAAGAAGTTCCGAAGCAGGATACTGGCAGTCAGACGGACCCTTTTATCTCCATTAGCAACAAACATGAAATGTCTTCTTCTGGCTTTTTAATTCAAATACCAGACGGCTCAAGCTTCTCTCTGCATGCAATATTTACCTGAGACCCCGACACCTCCATGCCAAACAAATATTTATGCTGGCACCCTATGAGCCGTTGCCCAAACGATCTTGACCTGTGACCTTATGAGATAAAGTATACCTGCCATGCTTTGACTGACAAAGCAGATATTCAGAGTCATATATTTGAGAATGAAAAGGTTTTTTTAACCGTACCCTGAAATTATTCTAATCCAAATTTCAAAGACGTGAAATAATTTAATAATTAGAACATGTTATTTTTTTAATAACTGATTTTCCTCTTTTATCCTTATCTGCTGTCTTTTTATTTTGCAGCAGTGCCTCTGCCGCGTGGCTCGTTTTTAAGAACCACATCTTGCCTTTATTTTGGTGAAAAATTATGCTTAAAATTGCCACTTTCCCCTCTAAAGATGTATGTCTAAATTGGTTCTAAAAATGGCTATTTTTGTTTTTCTTTTGGTTATGCCTTTTTTTTTTTTTTTTTGCGGGAAAGAGGAGGGTCACATTTTATACTTCAGGAGCCGTGTTTGGGATGGGACTGCCACATGCCCAATGCCCCCCCTCACTCCCCCACCCCCTCTCTCTCTCTTGTATCTTCTATCTCTATGCAATTTACTGATGTTCATGCTGGTCACCTGGAAACTGGGCTAAGACTCAGGAACCCAGACATCCTGCATCCCAACTCCATCAATGATCCAACTCCCCGGTTCATGTTCGATTAGTCCCTCCCCCGGGGGACTGACATTTTGCATCTTGTACATCCTGTAGAAACTGTTTTATACTAAAGCATTTCAGGTGTGGACACCATGAGATCGTCTCTCACCGATCCGGGCACAGATGCGTAGAGGAACCAATGTTATGACAAACTGCTTGTCCAGCGTGGAAGCCTGTACAGTCCATCTTGTGCTGTTTCCCCTTCAACGCTGTAAAGATTTGCTCATGCATTTCTTTTTCATTCTAGAGATGTTGCCTTGAATTGGCTATAAAAAGATGTAGGATTTAGTGTTATAAATATATATAATTTAAAGATGAAAAGACGATGATTCTTTAATGTGCTACTAATACCTGGATCAGTTGGTGGATGTTAACTTGACAATTAATCTGCAAATGTGTTCGATCATTTGTGAGCGTGTTCTGTTGTCAAGAGGTTCCCTGTGTCACTGTAGAGACTAGGACTGTCTCATTTCCACAGGACGTGTTTGTGGGCTGTGAAATCAACATGGGGAGTCACTCTCAAACTGACACAGAGGAACATTTATCTTTGTGAATGGACAATTCACATGTTTGCATTGATGGCTCTAAATTTTGCACCACCTTTTTCTGACCAGGCAGGAGACCTTTCATAATGAAAGGGGCTCCTGCCACACTATAGTTGATGGCTATGAAGGTGCAATAAAGTTGACTTTTGTGAGCTGATTATGTATTATTCTTTTTCCTTGTCATTTAATAGCATGTGGTTATGAAAAGAGGTCATTTCCAAAAGTTATTTGCTGTAACAGTCTTCTGTCCCATTTGAACAACAAAAACCGCTCTATCATAATGGCTATTTTTTCCATTCAGCAGCCGAGGCTTAACACACATATGCCGTCAGAGATCCTGAATGCCTTAAGCAGCTTTTGTCAATATTTTTGAGCGAATATTAGACTTAAATTCACCAGTCTCCAAATAAATGATGCTGATGCTGCGTAACGACGGATTTGTTGGCAACATCAAGTGTAATGAGTTGAAATGTGTTCACTGTTGGCCGTTGCTTCCCCCAAGTGGCCGGGAAAAAGAACACTGTCCAAAGAAACGATGCCGAAACCTGCAGAATTTAATTCCTGTAATAATGAAATCTCATGATGAACAATGTAAATAATACACAAATCTTAGCACCTATACAAAAACAAACCGCATCAAATAAAGCGTTCAGTTGTCGGTGAGGGAAGTTAGACTATGACGTCACACTTGGGTGGGCGGGGCTAACATGTCCCCCCCACAACACCGGCTTCTCCGGATGCGCATCAGCACGCAGGCAACATCGACACGTTTCGAAAGGCGGCCACGGGCGAGCGGAAGTGCAACAAGAGGGACACAGAAGTGGCCCCTCCGGAGAGCGCGCGTGCGTCTGTTTGCTTTTAAGGAGAGACCGCAGTCAAGGGGACGTTTGCAAGTTTGCGCAAGAGACCGGAACGGGAGAGGAAGACTGCTGCGGGGGGGGGTAGAGAGAGAGAGAGAGAGAGAGAGAGAGATATCCCCGGGCTGCGACGCCTGCAGCAGCATCAGGACCACCAGTACCGGGATGGAGGGGGAGAATCACGGTACGTCTCTAATCCAGCTGTTTGCTCATCCCATTGGGTTAATGCCGGTTTGCGCCGCTGTCTACAGTAATGATGCGATGCTCAAGTGTTGAGAAGTGTTTATTCTGCATGCCAGTCCCACTGTTGCTGGTATCGCAGCATGGCTGACTACTCTGCACATGGGTACTGTCATCGAGTCGTAAAGGGGCTCGATACTCACGTCATGTTGAACTTTAAAAAAGCATTCACAGGAAAGGGCCCTGTGGCAGTTTATGAGCCATCTTAATAAGAACAGGTGAGCCCAGTGTAGATTATTGTCAAACGGATCTAAATTGATTTAAATAAGATATACGTATGATGAATTGTTAAGCATCAGGCTGCAGCTGACAGCATGAAGGCCGCTTCAGAAATCCACATATTTAACCGGTATTATAGAACAAAAGTTCATAAATAAAACACAACACGTTTATTTAAACCATGTTTGCATCTGGCGCAGTGGCTCTCACAGTGACACAGTTTCACAAAATGTTGTCTTGCAAAAGTCTCCCCACTGTCGAGCCATAGAACCTTTTACAGGAAGTTGGGTGTCCTGACATCATGCACAGGGTGACCAACCCGCTGATGATCGCAGGCCACGATGAGCCGGTGGACGGCTCGGTTTAGGCTCCGACAGATGCTTCATCTCAATTATTTAGCATTTTAGTTTTCTCTCAGCGTAATGCATCTCAAAATAGAATCACCAGCAATGGCCTCATTGCAAAACTGATGCTTTTCCGAGGGTGGGTTGATAATCCCCACACCGCTTTCTGTGAGTCTCAAGAGACTTAAAACAGAAAAAGTAACATTCTAAACGAAATAAAGGATGTATCCCCTTCTAATGCTGTGCATATCCACTTTTTTTTATGGTGTGTTCAGTTTTTTTTCAGATGTCATACATGAGGCACACATGGTTCAGTTGTGACTTCTGGCATTTAGCAAGGATCTTTTTTTTATTTTTTATTTTCCCTTGTCAGTACTTTGCTTTTTGTAGCTAACTCAGTCCACGATTATTTAATAATCTGTCAAAGTGTGAGGCAAACGCGAGGCACATGCTGACAGCTCCTCTGTCGAATCAGTGGCTTGTGGATCTGAACGTGTAAGTGCACAGTACCAGTCAAATGTTTGGACACATTTTGCCATTCAACTCAATGACAAAATGTGTCCAAACCTTTGACTGATTGAGGTGTGCAAAGGAGGCAGAATAGAAACAATCCATCCACTGTCAAGACCCGTTTTTTCCTTTATTTTGACGAAGCTCTGTTTCCTCTATCTTTTAAAGAATGCAGTCTTAAGCATTTGACGTGTTCTGAGTGTAATCTTTGTCTTTTACGGCTCGGCGGGTGTATGTGTACCACAGGATTATGTAATGTGTTTTCGTACTCTCTTCCTGTGGTGCTGCAACCCTAAACCAACTATTTTAGGATTCATTGGGCGCTGCTCTGTTTCACGACTCACTTCAAAGGCTCTGAGCTGCAAGTTGTCAAAATCATCTTTTTAAAAAATTCCTTTTGTGCTATTTTTTTCCATCTACCTGCACCTGTCAATACCGCTCACATGCACATCACACGTGCACAAAGGAAACTGTGCTGCCTTATAGGCGCGGCACTCTGGCACGTACTTGTGGTTGCTTTGGTCGTGGGTGTCAGCGCTCCTCTCTGTTTGTGATAAAGTCGCTTCGAGTGGCCTGTGTGCCGTTTTCTTTCTGCTGCACACCGTCGCTCTCCACCGGCGGGATGGCACAGGTTTGCTCCAGCACTATAAGCTCCTCTCTCCTTCAAAGGACACTCGCTGAGAAAACTGCCAAAGCAGCGGCTGCAAAAATCCCAACGGACTTAGACACGCATATCGTATTCACGTTAGAAAACGTGACATTAAAATCAAGAGACGAAAAGGAAAGTTGAAATATGTCTCCTAGAAAATTCCAATCTGTATTTGTTCTGCATTTTTTTTTTTTTACTGATCCATGCAAGATATATCAGTCTAAAAATAACCATTGCCATGAATAACACCCTCTGCTTGTTCATCAATCACAAAGAGTTGTAGAGAAGCACACAACGTGTAGCCATTAAAGCTTTTGAGACAGCTGAACAGAATAGTGGGCCACGATATAATGCAGCTCACCGCACGCCGCCCACATTTAACCTGCTGCGCCCATGCGAGAGTCGCACCAGCGTCGGTGCTTGCTTGGCTCCCACAGAGGCCAGTTAGTCACAGGAGGAAGATGCTAACGCTTTGCTGCCATGTAGGAGTTCCACCAACACGGATCGGCGAGCTCTCCGTAGGTTGCATAAGCCACGTGTGGAATCTCCTCCGTCACCCAGGACACTTGTCTTCCTACCTCTGTACTCTCAGCCAAAGCAGCTGTAGGTTTTCTGCTTCCGGTGGTTGAACAAGAGTTGGGCAACCTACCGTACATGAACTTCTTTTGATGAGGGGGAGGGTGGGGCATGTATGCATCTTTCGCTATTTGAACTTTTTCAATTAGTTGCCGCCACCTGCATGTAGAGATCGCAAGAACGTAGCAACTCTGCAAAATGTGCCTGTATATAGAGAATTCATGCAACGCACTGATGTATATGTTTGACCTTGCCACCAGGAAGGAGCAGGTATAGAGCCACGCATACATTCCTTACACCTACTCACAAGCTTTCCATCTATCCATCTTCCCACCCGTGTACCGATTATTATTTGCAGTTGCTCAGTGCCCAGTATTCATTGGGGTAGTATAAAGAAAGAGAAGAGAAACATGTGTGCTGACTTCACTGTGTGCCGTCTGTCTGCCGTGACAACGCTGCTCCTCTGGGTGATGTGCAGCCGCAGCATAACGCAGCGGTCACGGCTTCGGGTCACTCCGAGGTACTCGGCCCTCCGGCCAATGATTGTTAGAGCATCGGTGATGTCGTGGCCATGCAGACTGTAGGAATGCAGCACGGAGAGAGGGCGGACCTGGAAAGAGTAATGAAAGAACGACGGAATGAGAGACGACGGTGTTGAAGAGCGAGAGACACTTGACGGACAGGCTGATTGAGAGTGGCAGTGGGTCAACAATTTCTCATTTGCTTTACAGGAGGTGTGAAAATTCAGAATTAATTGCCGTTGACTATCACCGCATGTGTGGCAGAACCAGCCCAGTTTAATTTGGTGTGTGTGTGTGTGTGTGTAATCTGTCTCCAAGACCCCAAAAATGTGACACTCGTGGAGGTTGACAGCATTACTTTTGAAGATGTAATCTAATAAAAACAAATTGCTCTCCGTTGTTTTGCCCAGGAGCAAATGGTTTCTTCCACCCCGTTGCCAGGCAACCATGGAATCTTGATTTCATGTACATTTCAAAAAAATAAAGAGTGACCAGAAGCTGCAACTCAAACAACTGCACTGCACAAAGCGGGCAAAGTGCCGCTGAAACTCACCCACCGCTCTAATGTAACGGGAAACCTCCTGCTTCACCGTTTCTTTAATTGACCACTTGTTTCATTTTATCGTCCAAACTCAGATGCAGCTAAAAAGAAGGTGAAGGTACATCACGTTGAATAAACACTTTAGAATTTACCCCGGACCTTTTCCGTTTGTGTGTGTGCATTGTGTTACGTCCAAGAATATCTGCTTCAATTAGTATGGAAAGTAGCAAGTGAGTGCCAGTGGGAGAGAAAGGGAGCGAGACGGGAGGGAGAGAGAGAGAGAGAGAGAGGGAGAGAGGGATGGAGAGAGAGAGGGATGGAGAGAGAGCAGAGGACGATAGAGGGTGGCTGAGACACCACTGCAAAAGGGGAACTGGGGAAGAAAGCAGAAGTGATTTTGGCATCCCTGCAAGTTGCACATTCTAATCGAGGGGGAAGAGAAAGTAGGTGAGTGAGTCGTCGCCCAGCTGGAGGAGGGCGGTGGGTGGGTGTGTGTGTGTGTGTGTGTGTGTGGAGGGGGAGGAGGGAGGTGGATTATGCGAAGCTGAGTGACAGGACCTCATACAGCTCCAGGATCTGCCGTGGACCGAAGAGCTCGGAGCTCGGAGTGACTCTCGGCAGCCGCAGCGGGGAGACCCGGGGGGGCCCCTCCGCAACTTCCCCCCTTTTTCTGTGTCGACAGGAGGGAGCGTCGACTCGAGGCGCTCGCGGAGACGCGCCTCTCGCACGCGGACACCCTAATTACACGCCGGGGACATGGGGTCAGTGAGCAAGCTCTGCGGGTCCAGCCTCCAGACCTTCTTGTGTCCAGCCGTGAAGCCGCTCCAGCCTCCCCCAGGTAAAGCCTGCCGTCTTTGCGGGTAGTTGTAGTCGTTTCCCGAAGGGCCGCCACGTCGCCGTCGGTTTGGCTCAGTTGTTGGAGTGAAGAGCCTGTTGATTGACGGCGCGTGTGTGCTCGCACCTGCCGGGGATGAAAACAGTCGGGACGCAAATAGAGGGAGCTTCTTGTGGCTCATTAGGCACAACTTACAGCTCTCTGTGCGCACACACACTGAGACAGACAGGGCTAATGTCATTACTTACTGAGCAGATCTAATCTCCAGCAGGTCTCACACACCTTGGGAACTGCTCACTGTGACTCAGTCACACACGCAGCAGATCCACGTATTACAGCCGCACACAGCGCTCCGGGCGCGTACGCAGGGTGTCTTCTTGTCCCTGTTATTTGGCCCCTGGGGTCAGGAGAGGTGTGCGCTTACTGGAGATTAACCTGGACACAAGCGCGAGAGGAGCCGGCTCGGACGTTGGCCTCCTCGGGGGGGTTCTTCCGTTTTATTCTGTTCTCAGACGTGTGTTGCCACACCGTAGTAGCAGCAGGCCCTGGATTGCGATGGAGGTTGCGCGTGCATCTTGTTTGTCTTGTTTGTTCAGCGCCCCGGCGGGGTGTGTTTGGAAACCCGTGTTGTTTGCAGAGCGCGTTGACAAGATGAAAGCGGGAGGTGCGGGGTGGGGTTGAATTGGGGAATACCCCCTACTGAATGCGTGTAAAGGGGAAACAGTGCTGTCTCAGGGATTTCTAAACGCACGAATCAGCACCACGAACCAGTGAGGAAAGAGGGGAATTCTTTTATTTTGTCTTTGCTTTTGCTTTTTTTGCTTTTTTCTGAGGAGAGAGTTTTTGGTGTGGCAGTCGTCTGAAAGCAGAATATTCCCCTCCGTCATCCTCCTGCATGTGTCTGTGTTTTTGCTCAGACTGTAATAAAAAATAAATGAATAGAAATCAACGCGCACGTGGTGACGGCAGCCGTTGCATTCTGGGCCTCTCTTGCTGGGGGGAGACTGGGCAGCGTCGTGTTGGTGTTGGCGTTTCTGTTTTTAATCGTGAATCATGCAAGTGATTCATGTGTGACTCATCGGGTGGTTGTCCGGCTCGTTGGCATCGCGTCGGCAGCCGTTATCAACTGAAATACAGACTAATGATGTTCTACGTGAAAAAGTGCAGACACGAGTGAGAAGTTGAGAAACTAAGTTGCTGGACCTCGTGAAAGTTTTATTCCTCAAAGTCTTTGTTTCTTTCACTCTTCCGCACTGTAAATGTTTCTGTGAGCGTGACTAACGGGCCCAATTCATCCTCACAGGGCGCCGTTCGGGTCAAATCCACGTGATCGTGCTTTAGCTGATCATCATCAAAGTGATCTCTTGTTATGGAGCATAAACAAGCCCGTCAGCTGCTGAGGTGGTCCAGAGTGTTTCCCCAATCAGCTCGTTGTAAAGGAGGCTGATTATGGCGGTGGTTCCCCAGCTGTTTGCATTGTGTCCCTTAAAGCCTCACATCTGCTTCCGGGTCCTGGGCCTGATGGTCGATTTCTTGTCTCGGTTTTGCTTGCAAACAAGAATGTGGACTGTTTTATTTTCCTCTGGTCGGGGTCTCACACACCCCAGCCATAAAACATGGCATCGATTATCATACCCCGAAGTCTTTGATTTATTCGTAGATATCTTTAAAAACTGTCAAATAATAAATTATCAAAATAGTACAGCAGAAATTCTACATTTTGTTTGTTTTCCCTTTAAATTGCTTGTATTAGGTACATAACAAGACTTTAGATTGAAGACTGCAAATGTATTGCATCTCGAGTTAAATGTTAAAACCAACATGCTAAAATGCTTCCAATTAGAACGTGCCAATGTTTTAACAATTTAACTTTGCATCGTAATACCTCTCAAAAATCCCAAATAATGTATAATGTGAACATTTATAATGAATAATAGTAGCATATGGGTTTATTTGAGCTTCACAGTAGTTGTAGAGGTGTAACAGAGTGACATTTCTAGCGTCTAGAAACGTGCCTAGAAATTGTGAATCTGTGACGGAAAAGTTGGACAGCAAATATAATGATTACAAATCATAAAAACACACGCCCTACGCCCTATTCGCGCTGGCTAGGTTATTACTAGTTGACCTCATGATTTAAAAATGACCACCTCCCTCTGTGTCTGACATTATCTCTCAAGTATGATGTCCAGCCTTCACATAATCCAAAAATGTTACTAATTACACACAAGAACGTATACAGTATTTTAAAATGAAAGAAATGTAATGTTGAAGGAGAAAAGTATATCTAATCTGAAAATGATAAAATGCTTCTGTTTGTCTTCTTTGCAACCCTACGCAGCTCCACATTGCTGAGCTGCTGGACTACGGGATTAAAACCTCTAACTTCCTGTGCGCATTTACATCATAATTACATAACAATACCATGTATCAGATTTCATGTGATCTGTATCAGACTGGCAAGACTTAAGTTCCCCGCGTTGTGAAAGTGGAGCGAGGCCCTTCCAGGCGGCGGCAGATGAAATCCACTCTGCTCTGCAGGCCGATCGCGATCCTTCTGGTCGCACGGCAGGATTTGTTCTCCTCTGAGTGCTTTTGATCTTGATAAATTTCGCGGGCGAGGCTTCTCGGTGTGTCTGTTGCACTCTCTCGGACACTCACGACACTTTCTGTGACTCCCAGAGTTGTACTGTAAACGCGTGGACACGCCGCCCTCCAACCCTTCAAGCTTTTCGTGCCCGAGGTCACGATGCATCTGAGCAGAAGGGCACTTTCGTTTGGCCTTTTTCCCCTCAGACGGCTTGTTCGTCAGGCTAATGCATCGTGAATTACAGATGAACAATGCTTCGTCAGCCTGTAGTTTACCACGGCTGGTTGCGGTGATGTCAACGGCAGAAATGTATGCGGTGCAGAATGCTGCCAGTGTAGCCTGAGGAAGAGTGACTCGTAGACGGACTGTCCTACTTCGGCGGGAGCAACTGATTCGCTTCATCTTCAGAGAGCAGTATTCCTGTGTGTTTATCCTCCAAAGGGAAGGTGAGTTCTGCTCTGGGCTGCTACGAAAGAAAAAGATTTAAAAAGTCAATCGTCTTGCTGTCAAGGATATGTGGAGCGAACCAGTATTAGAACGCAAGGGCTGCCTATATTCTTTTATTCATATTATGACTCATGTCAGCACTCATTCGCTCAGGACTGCACATCCTCCCAACCTGGGGAATGATCGAATGAATTGAAGTTCCCATCACCTCCAACCGGCCCAAAGGAGTGGTTTGAGAATCAGCTTGTGCAACGAGTCATTATGCACGGAGCGATAAAACTGATGCCACACGAGTGTCTGCCATGCGTGTCGTAGTGTCAAAGGTAACAGAGACGTCTTTTCAGGCGTTGTGTTAACGCCTGTGAAGTGGAAGTGTGGAAACCAACGCCCTGGTTCTCAATCTGTTATTTTCTCGGAAATCATATGGTTTGTACGTCAAACCCTACGTGTTGAAATATGAGGTAAATGTGAGGCATTTCTCGTGGGTAGTTATGTAATAGTGTCTGGTGTTTAGGGAGGATCTGTCATTCACGCATTGTTTTTGCAATGTGTGCATTGAGATCTTCTACAAGGAACTCCCTTCTACTAGATGTCCTTCATGCCTTTTTTTTTCTAGTTTTAGTTGTAATTACAGTAGTTGATCAGCAGGGGTCACTCTCGATTTCTCCTACTCAGGCAAGAGTCCCATCACAGGGTTGTTAAACTCATTTTACACATCAAGGTCACCTAATCTGTATTATAATGTTTTCTCTTCCAAAGCTTGAGAAAGTAAACGTAGGGATGTACACCATTTATTTGATGAAAACCTAGTTTGTGAACTGCGGCACACGTAAAATAACTTCACAAAAGAGCAAAACGTTTACAAAGTGACAGGAAACAACCAAAAAAGGGGTCTAAACTATTAATAAGCGTCGTATAGGAGAGGTGTCTCTTTAGCAGGCCAGTGCAGAGGGACCATTCGTCTCAATGTGCCCATAATCAGAATCATGAGGTGAATAAAGAAGAAAACATTGTCCTCACACTCGATATGATGCTGCTGAGACCTCTGCTCTCCACTGACACGTCATCTCTCCGAGGACCAGCTCTACTGGTCATTGTTTCAGCCAGGAAGTTGCAGACAACAATGTGTTGGTATCAACCCGTTTTGTTTAAAGGTCAAACGGCTCTCTGGTCTCACTTGTTCCCGGTTCTTATGCACAGATCAATAGCAGTGCTCTGGGGAATGGATGAACTGCTATCAATGAATTGAAACTTTGTGTGAAGGGGGTTCACTTCACACAGACTGCATTGTCAGTTGTTGAGCTCGGGCCGCACAACGGAGGCATTCACGGGCCACAGCTTGAAGCCCCTCAGATGAAGTGGCCATGCGGACCAACGGCCACGTCTGTGCTTTCATGCTTTTCAGGGGTCTTCTGACCGCCGTTCTTCCAAGACGTTGTTCCCGAAAAGGGGAGAATGCAATTATCCGGTCTTGATTCCCCCTCGTCGGTGGTTTCTCACATGCAGCCAGACATCCGGCCGCATTTTTTCCTCCTCTAGGTGGAAAGGAAAACAGAGAGGCGGCGTTATCTCCAGGCTCCCTTCATTGGCTGAGAGCGCAGCATTCCGCTCTGGCTCTCCTGTGTTCATCAACAGGCAGGGACATGCAGGCCCGGCCCTTTCCGATCTGACAGCAGAAGCAGGTGTTATACAAACAGCAGGCCGAGTTATTCACTTTTAACAAGGGGGTTGGGAGACTCCTAGATATGCAGTGAAGGAATGTCTCCTTAGATCAGATACACATTTATTCCCAGGCAGCGTAAAATATGAATACACTGCGTGTCGGTGGGCAGTGATGAAACATGGGAGTGATAAATGACGCTGTTATTTGTGAGGGAGTCTGGCACCTGGCAGGTTAGACCTGACATTTGAAACGGGTTTACAGGTTCCCTCATTCATGACACATCCACATATACAGGATTGTAGTACTCTTTATGCAAACACCTGAAACATTCCTAATGATGGAAAGCTGCAGTATTTCCATCATAGCTTGAAGTGGTGGGTGGAGAAATGCATTTAGGCCATTTTTAAACGTGAAATAGCTATACGTTATTACACAATATGAACATTTATTTTAGCCAGAATTTTTTTTTTATTATCTCAAATTTATCCGGAAAACGCTCTTTCTATTCTAAAGAAAAGTCTGACCGAAAACACGCGCCTACGCACCAGCGGATGTGGTGAATCAAACACAACGACAAGCGCAAGATCAGCAGTGAGGAACTGCGCAGCCTGTGTGTGTCAATCACAGTCTCCCCCCCACACACAGCCATGTCCCAACTGTGCGCGTGCGGTAGTGAGAGACGGAAGGGGCAATGGCGAAAGCAACAAGTTGCTGACGCAAACGTCATTTTTTGTCGCACCTTATTGAGCAATGGTTCAGCAGCTACCGGAAAGGGAGCAGCCCGCCCTTCATAAATAAAATATTTTAATTTGCTATAATTTGAGTCTGCATGCAATACAATGGATGATCAATTCTGTGCAATTTGAGTATTTCATTTCAATTGAATAGTATGTATAATACACAGGGTGAAGTGGTTGATCATCACACTCATTTTTATTTTAGTGTGACGCACTACATTCCCTTAAAGTGAAAATACAATTTGCGTACGTTTATTCATACGTGTTGATACAATGAAATAACCAGACTACTCGGAAATATACTGAATACTACTAAACAGCAATCCGTCTGGTAAAGCGTTAATTCCCACGAGTGGTACGTGGGCGTTTTATTCTGAAAGGGTAAACCGGAAGCGGATTTGATTCAGCGTGTCTTGACGCAGGAGGACTGGCTGGTTAAAGTCCTCCGTCTCTTGTAACCACTCCCTTGAGCTGTCGACAGAGAGGAGGTCGACCTTTGGTGTTTTTCTTAACTCGGCACAACAACTTAAAAAAAAACAAAAACAAAAAAACGAGTCCATAATATTCGTCGATACTGGTATCCGGACAAGTTTTGTCGCTCGGAAATCGATTGAAACTTTTTTTTTTCTTCTTAAAAGTCGGACCCACCAGGCGGAGACAGCATGGTGTTAAAATCGGAAGACGGTGTTGGTGAGTGAAACCGACTAAAATAACTTTCTTTTGAATATCGTGTAAACGTGGTTTTTAGGAAGCAGCGCGCTGTGTTCACACGACGGAAGGACAATAATGTCTGTCTCGTGTTTGACTCTCCCGCCTGTAAGCGTCCACCGAGGACACTTCGTGCACATTTGATCAACCACTGTGGTTTTGCTAAACATAAACTTACAGAAGAAAAAAAAAATCACTATCGCGTTTAGGGACTTCAATAACCCCCCCCCGTTGTTAAGCTATGCTATTAAACAATTGATCCAGTCTGGACTGCGTTAATCACATTTACTCCCGCAATACTTGTTATTTCTTTGGCCCCTGCTGCAGAACCCACTTTAAATCCTTTTTAAAGCCATTTTTTCAGTGAATGCCGATCTTTTCTGCAGCAACAGGTGCTGTCAGCGAGGCTAAACAAAACATGAATGTCTTATCTTGAATTAGTTTAAACCCCCACAGCCGTATTCGCGTTTTATTTGCATAACAGGATGGTCGAAATTCCTTTTTATTCACATCCGTATTATTTATTCATGAATAATATCACAACCGCAGCGTGTATCGCGATACAGAAGTAAGTAAAGCGTGCACGGTGTGTGACGTCAGACACGAATCCCCCGCTGTGAGCCCGGCAGCAATAATTAGCGCCCTCAACTTGCGTCACCATTAATCGTGTCAGAGAACAGTGAGCATCTGACTGACTGATCCTGTTATGTGCTGCTGCCCCCCCCCTCACACACACCCACACCCAGTCATGGATGATCCCCACCGGCACACAGCTGCATTGTGTGTTTATCAAGGAGACTGGAGACAAAGTGCATTCGTCTCTGCCACTTTAGGTCGGGGAAGTTTTAAAGCAGTTGTGGCTAATGGCTCCCTAACGAGGGGCCGCTGAGAGCTCTAATGGGCCCTCCAGAGCAATGAGCCCCGCCTGGCATCCAGGCCTCCCGCTGGCTCGATAACCGTCACCCTCTCTCCCCATAATCATATTTCAGCCCATCTTTCTGCGGCCGTCTTTCCTCTCGGGCCGGCGATCGTTACGCACACCGACTGCTGTAATGCAATTGGACAGAAGGTTGTTGTGTGTTTACTTTGTGTGCAGTCAGCGAGGTGCTTTTTTCTTTTCTTTTGTAGGACAGAAACGCGCCGCATCGCTGAAATGTTTCAGGCCAGTTAATGAAGGAGCTGGAAGACACAAGACAACCGTAACAACAATAATTACACACATAGGTTGTAGAGCAACATTTTCCTAAGGCAACGTTTGAGAATTTCATACCAAAGAAAATCAGAAGGCAAAGTGTATTAAGAACAAGTAGTATTGTAGCTCATGATCTCATTAAATTGACAATCACAGTTGAGCCTGCAGCGGATTTCTTTTTCGTCTCCCTCAGAGCTGATGTGCGTGAATTTCCTGTATGTTTGCAGCAGGTATCGGCACGCCTGGTCTTTTTTTTTTTTTCGTCATCCAGGACAAAACTCTGCCCTGTTGATGGGCCCCGGGAAGTCAAAATGGCGCCCTTTAGGCGCTGCACGCAGAAAGCCTTTTGAGAGAACGTGGTGTTTCGCCTGCAGGTCGGTGGCTGGTCGTGCTCGCATTGGTCGGCTCAGAATAGTTTTGTTATTTTTGTTTGTTTGTGTGTGTGTGTGTGTGTGTGTGTTTCTTTTTTTAGCTGCATTAAAGCGATGCAAAACCTGAAGAGATCAGTATCATCACAAACCCACTTTGTTCCTGATGTGGAGCTGCAGTTCTTAGTGGGGTTTTTTGTTTACCGTTCCCATCTCGGTGGAACGCGCATGCCGCCATGTTGTGATGGCGCTTTTAAGGATTAGGACTCATGAAGAAGGACGAACGGCTCAGTTCTGTTCCCACAGGATGGGCGGGTTTAGCCACAGCTTTCACTCCAGCTCACAAACAGGAAGCCCAGAGTTTGACAATGTGCTCGGCAGGAAGTGACATCCCACGGCCTGCGTGTGGGCTAAAACATCTGCGATGCTCCGCCTCTCCGTCTGCACCACACGCACGCACAGGCAGAAATAAGAAGAGAAAACTTTTCCCATGGTGTGTTTGCTGGGTGTGTGTGCGTGTGTTTGTGCGCGTACTAGTGGCGAGAGAGGATGTTGATATTGGGATAACCCCGATAAGGATCAAGGCCGACAATGTTGGAGGACAAAGGCGTGCATTGTGGGTTGAAATAGCACTTCCGCTTTTGAGGAAAAACATTGACGTTGATAAATGGCAATAAAACCCGAGTGGAGATTATTTAAGAAAGCTGCTCTCTTTTGTGTGCGTGTGCGCGTGTGTGCGTGCGTGCGCAGCTGCATGATGTCGGCTTTATATTTTTCTTTACAACCAACCAGTTCGGGTCAACGGCCTTCGCCATACGTTCTGCGGCTCGTTCTCTGGTCCCAGCATTGCTGCAGCCAGATGTGGATTCTGTCTCTCACGCCCATGGCTTCATTTCACCAGCTAAAAGGGTCGAGAACCCGCCGTGTTCATTTAGCGTTTCTTCTCTGGCCCATCTTCTTGTTTCTGTTACTGTGATTTCATTCATTTGTCATTAGTGCCTGATCTCAGTCTGCAGTTTTAAACAAAATAATAAAATAAATCATGCTTTTAACAAGATGAATAGTGACATAACCAAGCAAATGCGTGGTCCTGTTTCATCGTCTAATGCGGGATATAAATCCTCCCCCGTACTGACACCAGTCAGAGGAGCAGAGGTCAGCAGGTTGACTCATCGAGACGGCCAGACAGACGAAGGGGAAGCGCTCCCAACTGCCCCGTGAGGCAGACGCACCTGGGGCGTGTGTCTGTGTGTGTGTCGTTTTGTGATGCGTCATTAGCGCAGGGATGACTCCTTTGTTGAGCTGGAGTTTGGAAGTGATGACTGATTTAGAGCGAGCTGAGTCAAAGTGCTGACACATGCCGACAGACCTGGACCTCCTCACTGTGTTTGACCACATGAAGAAGAAGAATGAATCTGAATCAATTCCACTGGTTTTTGTACGTCTTTCTTCAATTTCTTCAGAGTCAATATGTGTTGATCAATCACAACTCTGCATATCTAATGCTACATAGACCTTTTTTTTTACATGGCGGTGTGCAGGGAAAAGGAATGACCACTGGGTGGAGCCTCCATGTTAACGGCAGTGACAGCCAACCCGAAAGGGAGAGGGAGGTGGAGAGGGAGGTGGAGAGGGAGGCAGCGACTAAAGCTCCTTCCCCAAACGGGCTGCGTGTCAGTGAGCCGGCAGCGTGCTGGGAGCTGATAGCTGAGCTGGCCGGTGTCGCTCTCCCCCGACTGGAGGAGCGGCCTCCTTCCCTCCGACTCTTGACATGTGGACGTCCGGCTCGTCCGCGTTCAGCCTCAGGCGCTGACAGAACAACGGATGCCGGGTCTGGGTTTTTAATTTAGTTGTTTTTAATAGAGGGCGAGCGCCAAAGAGGATCTCTCTCTGGAAGGAAACCGCGTTGACACTTTTGGAGGATTTCTCCCGCAGGTCAGCACTTTGTCGGCACTCATGTTTGATTTGTTAAACCGTTATCGCGGTGTTCTTGTCTTCTCCGCTGTCATGTGACTTTTTGTCAGTTCTGGACTGCGTGTCCACCGGCAGTCACACACACTGACTATTGCAGATGAAATCAGCGGGGTCGGGTCATAATGCGCTCCTCTCGCTCCTGGCATCCTGCAGCCGTGTTGTGTTGTGCTTTGGACCGGTGGATGGAGCTCTGCTGACTGGCGCTGAAGATGATGGCAGCAGGCCACCGAGGCGTGTGGAAGCCAGGGGTGGGGGGTGGGGTGGGGATGAGCGACAAATCATGTAACAAGTGGCAGCCGAAGGCGGCGTGAGCCATCGGTCGCCCTGCCAGGGCCTTTGTTGAGGAATGGCCTGAGATGCCGGGAAACACAAAGAGAAAGCTGTGATCGTCCCACTGTCTCTGTGCACCGCTGCCACGGGCCGTCCTACGCCTCCCTCGCCAAACACAAGGCTCCTTCTGCCCCCCCCCCAACCCTCTTCACCTACTCTTACCCTCATGCCGGGTCCTGCCGGGCGCTTTTTTTGGCTGCTTGATCCATAACCGGTGGTCCATTCCGGCCTGCAGGTCGGAGGTGAACAAGTTGCTTTGGGCCAGTGGTCGCGGTGAAGGCCGGCACACCTTCACAGCTCTGTGATCCACTTTGTTACAAGCTGTCTGGTACAGAAGATGAAGGGGCCGGCGCGTGTGTGAGACGTTAAGTCATCCTTTGTGCTTCAAGCAGCAGGAAAGATGTGTGTGTTTGACCAGCTCACATAGTCGATTGTGTGCGTGTGCCTAATGCATTTGTTGTGAGTACTGCGTCTCGTTGCAGCTGGCGCTCTCATTGGTTTGGGCCAAGGGTCGATTGATTGTGGCCTTCAGGGACCTTGAGGGTGCAGGGTGCATTTTGCGGCATTAAGGAGTGGGGGGGGCGCTGGACAAAAGTGGTCCGATTGGCTGAAGAATTGCTAGAGAGCCGGGGAGAAGATGAAGATGAAGTGTAAGGGTGATCAGGCCTGATTGGTGTGAGCGACAGATGGATGGGATTTCTGCAAGATGTGAAAGGAAAATAAGTTACAGAACACATGAAGGACCGTGTGCATGGAGCACTTCATCACTTGATCATCAAAATGTAATTCTGCACCGGGCAGGCTCACAGTCACTCGGCTGCAGGAATTGCTGTGCATCTTCTTGCATATTCCCTCAGTCAGCAGATGACAGGTAGCGTCGTGGCATTGTAAATGCATAACGTCTTCATCTGGGCCAGTAGATCTAGAAATAATAAATCCAGTTTCACATTCACCCTCGTGTCCGTTTCCCCGTTCTGCTCGGCGTGGAGCACAGATTTGTCTCTTTAATTTCCCCTCTATGCGTGTCTTTGGATCCTGACCAGTCATGTCAAGGGACGTCTAGGTGAGGAGATTATTTAGTTAATGCAGATTTCCTCTTTTGGAGTCCTTTTGATCTGAGAGGAGTTGCCTAAATTGGGTCACATCTGCAGGGAGGGGGAGCCGATCCGAAGCACTCAAGAATTCTAATTTTCTTATTTTCCAAGGAGAGTTCTTCAGTGATCTGGGTGGAAATGAGACGTCTTGTCTTTTCAATCAGGATGTGTATTAGTGGGCTCAGCCGCTGTGGGAGACGGACCTATAATTGGAATCTCCCTTGATGCTCTGCGCTGACCCAACCCTCACTAAGAGCTACTTTGCCCATCTAGGAACTCTTCAGTCCTAAAAGCACTCCATAAAGCAAAGGACGAACCGTAAAAAGGTAAAAATGTTGGGTTTTTTGAGGGTCAAACGGTTAATTACTTGGTAGTAATGCGGTCCAGGGCCGAAGACCGGGTTACACTCTCTGTAAATGGCCCAGATCTGGAGGTGACTCTTAAAATAGTTAGTCATCACAAACTGGTCAACCCAAACCTCTTTGGTGTGAACAAGTTACTCAATCCAGTACAAAAGGATCCATATTTCTTTTATTGACACTACAAATGTCCCTTCTTACTGTGTTTAAAGTTTCTCTATTTGAGACACTTTTGACAGAAAGTAATGGGTCCCGTCTGAATATCACCATGTGAGCGCTGAGACACAACTTGTCCTCTCGTATCATTTACTCTTCAAACTCCCATCCCTGCATCAGCAAACGGTGGATGTTATCAATCTATTAGTCGTCTTTTATCTCCATCCTCCTCTTTCCTTGACCTTCTTTACCCGGCGTGTCTTTAGTCTTTGGCGTCTCTGGAAAATTAGCTCCTGCCTGTGCGTTGGTGGAGCCGCTCCCTTCCCTCACGTGGTCTCGATTGGTTTGGTGGGTTTACCTGGTGTGTGTATGTGTGAGAGACAACAGGTGCAGTGTGGTGGCTGGTGGAAAGCTTCCCACTTTTTTTGTTTGTTCACGTCATGCAGCTGCATGATGTGAACAGACTCCAGCTTACAGAGGGACACCACTTTTTCCATCCTCAATTTCCCATCCTCAAAGATAAAGTTTCTGTATAATTATCGTGCTTTTCTGCGCTTTCTTCACTCCGTGGGGCTCTTTTAGGACTGAAATGTTGCGGTTGGGTCCGGCCGCTTCGTTCCAGCCTGACTTCACATTTCCAGGAATAGGGATTCGCCTTCCTGCTTCCAGCTCATCCTCCCTGCTGCTCCTGTGTGAGCTGTGTTTACTCGGCGGGACATGCCAGGAGAAAGCATATCGTCAAACCTCTCTGCATTTTGTTTGGTGTGTGCGCGCTTGTTTGTGCATCCCGGTCTGTATCAGAAAGATGAATCTCCTTCCCAATAAGAGGTGCTATCGGGGAAACCGTCTGACCCAAAACAAAGGTCTGTCAATTTTTGTGTCCGTTCTCCCTTGTAAGTGAGAACCGTTGCATAGCGCGGACGATAGTTTCCATGGATACCCCGGAACATTTGGGATGGATCCAGCAGACTGTATGTGTAGGCTGTGAGGTATGTGCGTGAGGTCAGCATCCAGTGGTTGCTGGTCCAAGGAAGACCGCTTGTCTTTGTCTCGCAGCTCCTCAAGGCACTTGTGTTGCACTCGTGTCATCATCCTGCGTTCGATATCAGCAGATAGACATCGACACACGAATGTCGTGGATATTTGCCTCAACGTGTCGAGGCTCGCCTCCCAACATGCACTCTCCCTTATGCGCCACGTGTTTTCTTCATGGAGGATTTTACACTAGTATAAAATCTTCTTTGCGATCTTGCGTTTCGATGATTGTGAAGTTGTGTGTGTTTGAAAGCACAGCGAAACTCAAACTTTCTGTGTGGCTGGCCTCACTGTGCGTTATTGATCTCTGTGTCACCTTTAGTTTGCCCCTTAGTTTCATAGACTTGTTAAATGAGTAACGCCTTGTGTTGAAGATTCCTCTGTCCTCACCCTCCTCCTCTCTCTAACCATTACCTCGTCCAGAGTCGCCGTCCCTTTATGCCCTGCTGATGGGGGGCAATGGGAGAAGGACTCACTGAGTGATGTTCCTACGTGAGCGCTGGGACTTGAACAGAGTTTAATTGTGGTTCAGACTCAACATCTTTTTGGTTTTGTGATGCTGCGACCGTTTCTCAGTGCGAGCGTCCGCTGAAGAAAGCCGCGAGGCGGCGGTTTCGCCGCAGAGGTGTCCCACCTCAGAGGTCACAGGCTTTCACTTTATTCCACAGCAGACTTCCTCATTGAGTAAAATAGCGTCATCTAGTTGCACATTTATTCAGCATGAGCAAACCCAAGGTCACAATGCTTTTTAGAAAACCATAGAATCTTAACTGTAGCTCTTCAACAATGTTGACTCTTTTAAAGGGTACTTACAAATAATTGTGGAGTAACTTTTTTTTAAAAACCTTTGGGCGTTCGCTCACCTTTCTGATATCAAGGGGAATTCTGATGTTATTTCTGTCAAAGAGACGCTGTGAGGGACACGCCTCAGGGGATGGCTATGCTTAGAGAAGGATTAAGGTGCATTATATTTCGGGCGACTAACTCTTCATCCTCTCTCTCTCGTCTCTCCTCAGTGCCGGATGACCTCACCCCGCAGGAGAAGCAGGAGCTGGAGGATATCCGCCGGCGCAAGCAGGAGCTGATGGAGGACATTCAGGTAATACTACGGGGGCTGGATTTATGTGTAGTCATCTGATGACACAGAAACATTCGTTTGTTGGCTACATGAACTGAAAACTGTTATACCCAACTGCAACACACTTAAACTACCAACTAAACTATGCTAATTGACACTTTATAACAGTTTGTTTTTATTAACCATATACTAAATTGATCCACCCAATAAAATAATTTACAGTTTAAAAAGGTCAAAGGGTATTTTTTAATTATTTTTTTTAACAAACTACAATTGTTATATAAACACCTGCCCAGTTGTACAAATGTCTCTCTTGTGAGACGTTCTTAATATTTCTCCCCCAGTGGAATGCGAGGTATTTCCTCCCACAGAGCTCACTTCCTTCACAAAGCCTTTCTGCTAAGTGATCTGTGTTTTTAAAGATGTTCGGTGTCTCCTATTGGCCATCGGTATCAAATTGAAATAAGCGTACAGATAAAACAGGATTAAGCTCTTAAGAGGAACCGTCTCATGCAGCCAGTTGAACATCCATCATGTACTCTGATTTCCTGAGAGAGCCAGAATTCAAATCAGCTTGGCTAAATTTCCCTGCAGTGGTTTGTTTGCTTCCCGTCCATTGGCCCTCCCTCATTTGCTTTTTTCGGGCTCGAGGGCCGAGCTGATGTTTGAAGCGGGGAGCTGCTAAACGAGAGCGCCGGGACCCCGGCAGACGGTCGGCCCAGTTTGCGACTTCCAGTGGACTGCCAGACCGACCGTAGAGGCCCAATCTGACCCCCACCACTCCTCTCCTCTCTCCTCAATGACCCTGGTCCACAGTCGTGGACCCTCCCACCTGCTCCTTGGCCACCACTGCTGCCCAGCTCCTTTCCCCTCTTCCTTGTTCCTGCACACAAACGCCCCGTTTGCTCCTTCTCCACTCCTACGCCCTCCTCTGCTGGTCCTGCATGTCAAACCCCCTCCCCCCGGCCTCAACCAGCCCACCCGCTCCCCTTTGTGAACACAGCCTTTGTTTGCGGAGACAAGCATCTGAGGAATGTGTTGAGACTGCGCAGGCCCTGAGAGAAGAGAACACAGATGTTCCCTTTGTGGTTCGCCCTGAATTGAATTGCTATGATACATGACGATAAACTACCTCTGCGTCTGGATGCGAGTGGAGAGGCTCCATGAGGTCCTTTTACGTGATGAGCTGCAGCCGCACGTGATCACTAACGAGCCGGGTCTGTGCACAGGACCTCGTTTATTCCTCACTTCCATCAGGCTGACGTCAGCCTCTCCACCCGCTGTAATGCCCTTACTGCGCCAGCACTAAGACGGTCCTGTCTCGATCAACTAAATCCGCCTCAAAAGGCCGATAATCACTAAATATAATCCGCGTTCCCATTGAGGTTATTGAGGTTATCCGTGAATGTTCTCCACCTAATCAAATTCAGGATGAGGGAACACGCATATGGTGAGATATGTGAGATGTTTGTGTAACACGTTTCAGTTCATCGGACCCTTTTGTTGGGTATTTCCTGGATGTGATGAAAGGCCACCTGGCTTATAGACAAATAAAGGTGATGCAGAGATGACGGCCGCTCCCTCGGCACAGTTTATTAGGACCATGCAAATACTGGTCGTGGAAATTGTTGATATTCTCATGGCGTTTCCCAGACTAACATCTGTGTCTTTTCTGCAGCGGCTTAAGGATGAGATCGCAGAAGTGACGAGTGAGATCGAGAACTTGGGGTCCACCGAGGAGAGGTAAGAAAAAAAGGATCCGCCTCCCGGGCACATTTCCTTTTCTGCCTAAACCGGCTTGTCGTATTAACTCGGCTAATTTAAATGATCAATTATTCATTTTTGACAGGCAGGTTTGCGGCAATCCCGCCTCCCCAAACAGGCTTCCCAAATTGGCTGTGCTTTTAAGTCAGTTTAAATGTTTCATCAGGCACACCCCTACAATGGAGCGGGGGCCTCATTGAATAATGCAGTGGGTGTACACGCTCAGGCAGACAATGCGCCGTCCCGGGGGAGGGAGTGCTGGTGTTTGGCCTACTCAAGTGGATTGGGATGAGATCAGCTCCCGAATAATATTTCTTGGATCTAGAACCCATTAAGGGGGTTGCCGCCCCTTTCTCGTGATCGGAGCGTTCTCGGATCCATCGTCCGGGTGACGTGTGCGCAGTCTGCACCGCTGCGCCCCCGTGTTGGGCTTTTGGCTTGCGAGGGCCAAAGGAATGTTAGCGCTGGTTAATCAGTGAGAGGAAACGGTGACCTCTCGCCGACTGGTGATGGAGGGGTAACCATGGCAGCGGCGGACTCTTTGAGTGCCCTTTGACCCCTGAATGGCTCGAGGCCTGAGAAATGAGACGTTCCCATTGCGCATGTTAAGTGTATAATCAATGCTTTGTCAACAACGTGTGTGGGAGGGGGGATGTTAATGCTTAGGCAATCAAATCCAATCAAAATATTAATTTTTCATCCTTGTCAGACTTACCTTTTGGTATTTAAATAAAGTGTGATTAATCAGTAAAGGTGAACTTTACGTTTCAGGAAAAACATGCAGAGAAATAAACAGGTGGCCATGGGGCGGAAGAAATTCAACATGGACCCCAAAAAGGTAGGTGGAAGGAGCCGTTTCACGATTGCAGCGTGATTCATCCCACATGTTGCACGAGGCAGGAAGTGACCCCGGGCCTCTTGTCGCGTTCTTAGGGGATCCAGTTCCTGATCGAGAACGACTTGCTGAAGAATACCAGCGACGACATCGCTCAGTTCCTCTACAAGGGCGAGGGCCTCAACAAAACCGCCATTGGAGATTACCTCGGAGAGAGGTCAGCATGGAGACCGTCGCCATCTAAACACCGCCCATCGTGACTCATCCATGTGGTCGATAAGCGCATTGCACAGATGTTTTCGTAGGGCTGTGTTCCCTTGGGCGGCCTCACACACACACACACACACACACACACACACACACACACACACCCCCTTTCGGATTACCGGTTCCACGCTTAGAACATTCTTGCATGACGCGTCCGTTACCCTGCAGCCTCCAGCTCCTCTTTGATTATCTTACTCACTCATAACTCTCGAATCAAGAGACTCTGGATTGCGAGCGAGCGCATTAACGCAGGAAATAGGCGTGAGGCCTCGTGTGCGATCCGTGCCGCTCGGGGACCCCCGGGGTGGGTACTGTTACAGTCGGGAGTGGTCCCCGAGGTCAAAACCAGGAAGTGGCGTTCAGGCTGTTGATGGACGCTCTTCGTTCCACTGTCATCCAGCTCGCAGAGTGATTTGGGTTTCTGTGAGGAGGGGCCGTAGCAGCGCGAGTGACTTGAGACCCAATTGGTCACCCGTCTGTCGGGAGCGCTGGTGTCGGGATATGACTTGTCACCGAGAGCCCCTCGGAGCCCCCGCGTGGTCCCAAAGGGCAGATCATTTACTCGGGAGGGCGTGAAGGTGGGGAATGATGTCATGATTGAGATTGGATGATAAATCAAAGTGAGGTGGGGTTGTTTCTGCTGCATTGGGTTCGATGGGAGTATGCAGCGTATCGCATACCCGTTTTTTTTCTTCTTTTTTTTCCGTCACACCTCATTCCTCAGAAACGCTCCTGATGGATACTTTCCTTCTCCAGCGAGGAAACTTTTGGAAGAGCTACTAAGAATGTCTTCCTCAGCATCCACTAAATAACTCACATCTACAGATTTCCGTGGGGGCAATACAGACAATCAACAAAATCTAAATCTTCTAAATTCTTTATAAATTGTTATGCAATGAATAACAATTTTAAGGGGAAACTCACTCACACATCCCAGTGTTTTTGTTTTAAAATGAACCTTCCCTGATCTGATCTTCTTACTGTGCGGATTTGCTGCTTTTCATTGTCTTTTATATAATGGGCTATTAACGGAGGTTGAAAATGAAATTATTTTTATCTTGTGATGGCTATTCTATTTTATTAAACGGACGTTTTTCTAAATACTTAAAAAAAATGTTTCCCAATAGAGCTTTTGTTTTGTCTCACGCAGAGATGACTTCAATATCGAGGTCCTTCATGCATTTGTGGAGCTTCATGAGTTCACAGACCTCAACCTGGTTCAGGCCCTCAGGTAAGGCCGCATCTCCCCTGCAGCTGCCATCTTCAGGTCCTCTACATAGTTCCCCTTTGTTATTTAAATCAAGTCCATTTCTCCAAGAGCTTCCTGAAGCTGTAGCTGTCGCTACTGGTAGCTTCCAGTCTTTTGCTGCTCACTCACGTTGGAAGTGAGTCTGTTGGTGACTACTGAGCCGTGTGCCCTTACAGACAGTTCCTGTGGAGCTTTCGGCTACCGGGAGAAGCTCAGAAGATCGACCGGATGATGGAGGCCTTCGCTCAGCGCTACTGCCGATGCAACCCTGGTGTTTTCCAGTCCACAGGTAGCGGCGTGGCGCCACACCACCCGACAAGTCAAACCTCTCCCTATTTCAAATTCTCCCTCCCGATATTACTGCCAACTTGTCTCGGTTGGATCCCTGATCAACTTTTTCCTCCCTGAAGTACCTAATGTTCCATTTCTCACTGCGATCTAATGGCGTGCCGGAGGAAATCGCAGCCAAACGGCTCCGTTTGGCAGACAGAAAGTCTGCCGACGTGAGAGCTGCGTCCCGCCTCTGGGAAACAACGGCCATAGCACGCAGCCGCCCGCCTCCAACATGGATGCAGATGGATGTGAATAATGCATGGGACCTCTCAACAGTGACGGGCCAGATAAAGTGCTGCTGGGTCAGCCGCGCGTTGGCCACATTAGAGTGCTTATCAGAAAGCACACATGCATATTTAGCTGCCCACTCGCAGCCTTTCACTCCCACCCACTCTCCTCGCTACCGAAGATTTGCCTGCGTGTTCCTCTATGTTCCACTGTGGTCCCCTAAGTGCAGTCCTTTCAGCTGAGCTGATTTCAGCATATTTAAACACTAAATTAAACACTGGCAGAAGTTTTATGGTAAACAACAACCTTTTTTCCCCCCCTCATCCCTCGTGTGTGTGTGTGTGTGTGTGTGTGTGTGTGTGTGTGTGTGTGTGTGTGTGTGTGTGTGTGTGTGTGTGTGTGTGTGTGTGTGTGTGTGTGTGTGTGTGTGTGTGTGTGTGTGTGTGTGTGTGTGGCAGACACTTGTTACATCTTGTCATTTGCCATCATCATGCTAAACACCAGCCTGCACAACCCAAATGTGAAGGACAAGCCTTCTGTGGAACGATTCATCTCCATGAACAGGGGGATCAACGATGGAGGAGACCTACCGGAGGACCTGCTCAGGGTCAGTGAGGCTTTAAAACACCTGACCTCCCCGCCATCTTTGACTTTCTCTGGATTCATTCATTTTTAAATCCTTCATTGTAGAATCTTTATGATAGCATCAAGAATGAGCCTTTCAAAATCCCAGAGGATGACGGCAACGACCTCACACACACTTTCTTCAACCCAGACAGGGAGGGCTGGCTGCTAAAACTGGGTGAGTGGGTGGAGATACGTGCATGCCAAAAATGACGGTTGCTCTTGCCAAATGTGTTTTCATTGCAGCACCTATCGGTATCTCCAGGCCGCGTGAAGTAATGTCGACCCTGAGGTCAATAACGTGTGCGTGCGTGTGTGTGTGTACGCACTCGACATCTGAAGATCTGATCTCTGCCGCCTTTCATGCTTTATGATATATACGTGGCCATGAGACATGTGGAGGCTTTTGAAATATTGACGACAGACCGTTTTTTTTTTTTTTCTTATGCGGACACGCAAGCACACGCACAAATATTGAGTTTACGTAGCTTGTAAATAAAAATTGAATGAACACACACCAACATTGACGTAACGCACACACGTGGAAGGGCTTTGATCAGAGTTCTTTCTCTGTGGACAGTTGGATTGGCAATTTGTTGGAACGCCTATTTTGTCCCATCGTGGAAACTCAACAATTTTCATAACAGCAAAGGAATCATTATTCAGCCTTTCATAATCAATTTTTATCAGTGTTTCTTGATGATTTTTTGCAAGGGCTTTTTGTCCTGATCGTTAAATACTAACTAACACGGATTCACTCTACAAGTAGAGAAGCGCAGGCCTGGTGCCCTGAACTCTTCTGTTTCCTCTGAGATCTCTCTGTTGTGCAGTTTCACAGTGAATTCAATAAAAACGCCTCAATGCTAGTTTATATCAAATCGTCTGATCACTGTGAAACTTTACAACAACCAACCAAGAAAGGGAAGAATGACTCTTATTTCCAATGACTCCAACTTGGCATATTTCAGTCAATCGGGGTGGAAGGTAAATCACTGGATACAACAGAAGTGGACCGAAGTGGAGGCAATATTTAATGTGGTGCTTTACAGCGAAATTGAGAGGAACTGATATAATGACAGCAGATGTACAATTTGTTAAACTCCATTGTAAAATTCCAAGTGAGAGCTGTAAAGCAGTGCATCAAAGCCTCCCTGCAACCAGATTAACCAGGACTGTGGTGCAATAATTCCTTATCATTTAATTTATTTTTTGTTTTCTTTTCCTCTTTGTTTGTTTGTTCCCATGATTTTGGCTGTTATCTTTCCTCAGGAGGTATGTACACCTGTTCTTCCCAAACGCTAGTCCATCTCTCAGCTCTCGGGTGCTTTTGGTGGTCCGTCATGCTTTTGTTGCTCTTCCTCATATTTTACATTTCACGCAGGGTATTTTTTTTTTTTTATTTCTTTTCCTTTTTGTCTGTAGACCTTTTTGTTCTTTTGAGTCTCTCTACTTGACTCATTTGAACCTCAGATGTTTGTCTGTTCAGCCTCTCATTGAGCTGCTGGTTTGTGCGGCCTCTTTTGTCTCTGTGGGCGGTCAGCGGTTTCATTCGTCACCCTGCGGGCTCGGCTCGGGGCGCCGCTGCTCTGTGGCCGATCTGAGCAGTTTGACCCTTTTTTCTCCTCTACGCTGTGGTGGTCGGTCTCTGATCTTCTTGTTTTGGAAGTTGCATTATACCTTTTTTTTTTTTTTTTTGTCCATACGGCAAACACAACAAAGAACTGTTGCTTGACTCTCTAAATGGGTCGTCAACTCGTCCACCCAATCGGCTAAATGTTGTTCTCTGGTTAACAAAAGGAATAATGCACCTTTTCAACCGCGTGGCTCTGCTCTCCGTATCTTATGCTGTAAACGGATCTGAAGGGTAATGGCGTTGGTGTGGTGCTGGACCGGACTGGACCAAAACTGTGGGAGAGGAGCGTGGGCTGAGCGAAAAGGATCCACGCGTGGCTGCACGCCTAAAGTGCGCGCGGTTTGTAATTTATGAGTCGTTCTCATTTCAAAATAGGAGCCCTTGTATGAATTCACCCTGTTAAGAGAAATCATTTAGAAAGAATCCCTAAGACACCAACAACCCTCTTAACTTCTACTCGCTCAGCCTCCCACAGTCCCAATTTGCATGGGCGTCCCCCCCTCGCTGCTCCGCTCCGGCCCAGCACCGTCCACGCATCTCTGCAACGATCAGCTGGGACGTCCCGCCGCGTCCTAGACATTCTTGCACGGGGAGGAGGTCACCTCTGTTGAGTGACGTCGACCTCCACACCACCCAATCGACTGTCCAGCCAGTCCAGTGTGATTCTGCCGTGGCGTCTTGTGTTTTCTGTCCGTCCGCTTTTTTGTTGCAACACACTGACGAGTGCCGGGAGGAGGGTGGAGGAGGGTGGGCAGCTCTCCATCTCCGCCTGTCGAGTGGAGCGTGTGTCGATGGCGTCTGTAGTTTCTAACGAGCATCAATTGAAGTGTTTTGACCTATCATGGTGTCCGTGATGGGATATCATATACAGTGCCGCTGCTGTTATATGATAACACGCGTGTGGTTTCCATGTCTGTATAAACCTCCTCCTATCCAGGTAGATGGGTTTCCCAAAGCTTCTTCTGTTATTGGTGGTGGGATAGCCTAGTCTAGACGAGGCTTAGGTCTTTATGTCATAATCAGAAACAAAGTTCCCGCCCCTCACCGGACCCCGCTCCTATGTGACTTAACTAAGCCAAAACAGGAAATTCAAGTCGGAGATGCCTGTAGAGACACCGAGCATTGCTGGAGGCGCTGGGCTTCTTGCCCCACTCATTTAGGCGGCTTCCCAGCGCGAGGTGGCCATCTGCCCATGTGATCAGGTTTCCCCCTCACAGGAAGTATGGGTGACAAAGGGGTCAGAGGTCAGCTACAGATCTCCGGGGCATCGAGTTAACCAAAGAGTCCCCACTGGGCATGAAAGAGAGCTCAATCCTCAGTCAGTCTCCACATGCACCCCTCTTATAGTCATTGGATTCCTTTGCACTGAGTGAACTTATTAAAAGCTTCATTGTGCAGCGTCCAATCAGCCTTAATACGGCCTTTTTATCAACGCTGTGAGATCCAGTTCTGAGAATATAGACGAATGAAAGTACAAGGGGCATCAGAAGTTCTAAAGTAATGAAAAAGAACCCCAGGGCCATGCAGTGGGGGGGGGGGCATGGTGCGTTGGTGGACCAGGGGGCGTAGCGGGATGCTCTGGGTAAAAGGAGTCCTATGGAGCCGTCATCTGTCTGTCTGCCCATACATCCGTCTGCCCGTCTCCGCTGCTCGACCCGCTGCCTCGGTGCTCCCTTCTGCCTTCTCTCGCCGAGCTTCTCTGACGCCGGCTGTTTGCTTCACAGGGGGACGAGTCAAAACCTGGAAAAGGAGGTGGTTCATCCTCACGGACAACTGTCTTTACTACTTTGAGTACACCACGGTGAGTACAGCTCGAGAGCGTCGCCTCTCTCCCGTGTTGGCCGTTGCTGCTCCTCACAGGCCTTTTTTGTTCTTGTGTCCAGGACAAAGAGCCCCGAGGAATCATCCCCCTGGAGAACCTGAGCATCAAGGAGGTGGAGGATAAGAAGCCTGTAAGCACAGCTCCCTCTGCTGCTTCCTCCTGTGATTACACACACAGTCAGGCCCGACATGAGGACTTTCATTCAAAACATTTCCTAAATGGACAGTGAAGCCGTCCCTTTTTAGAAAATTGACTCCTGGGATTATTTGTTTGCTCGTAACATTTGAGGTTGAACTATAAATCGTACAAACCTATTTATATAATATATATTTAAACATTAAATTGATGGGTAGGTGCAGTTACATACACATCCATATTTGCCGCAGCTTCTTAGTTGAGATTTACCATAAGACGCCGTACATGGATGGTAAGTCATTAGACCCATATAGATATTTGAGCTAGCAGTTTATAGCATGTTCAATGAAAGCCGGTATGCTGATACCGTCTAACCTGCATCCTCCTCCCTTCTGTAGAACTGCTTTGAGCTTTTCATCCCTGACAACAAGGACCAGGTGATCAAAGCGTGCAAGACCGAGGCGGACGGGCGCGTCGTCGAGGGCAAACACAACTTCTACCGCATCTCTGCACCGACGGCCGAGGAGAAGGAGGAATGGATGAACAGCATCAAGTAAATGTTTTTACATGGTTTGATACTCATGCTATTCGATGGAAGAGTTTTCAGGGGGCGTAAACGGCGTAAAAGCGTCTTGTTTTCATGTAGCCAGTGAGTCAGTCGTGGATTGCCTGTTATTTTACCTTTGGACAGCTTGGTACCATTTTAAAACCATGCCCAATCAATTACCTATGAGCCGCCCCTGTGCCCACAGAGCCGCCATCAGCCGGGACCCCTTCTACGACATGCTGGCAGCCAGGAAGAAGAAGGTGTCGTCTATGAAGAGGCACTAGGAGCTGCTCCAGCTCTGCAGATGTTGCCCTCGGCAGAGCAGGGTCCCGGGACCCGATGGCGCTGCCGGGGTCGGTGGTGGAGGTCCCACTCAGACCTTCCCCCGGGGGAATTTGTCTAGGATACACACACGTCTGCAGGACAGACAAATGGGAAGCATGCAGGGGGTTTCTAGATACACGCTGTGGCCAAAGCGTCTTCTTAACCTCTCTCTCTGTCTCTCTCTGTGCTTTGTGTGCGCTCCGTTTTGAGGTCGTCGGGAAGTGTTGCTGTGAGGCAAAAGCCTCTGTTTCAAAATCCTTTTTGAAGATGCTTTAAAAACTAACACGGTTCCCATTGACATTGTGCACAAACACGGCATGCGCGCTGTTCCCCAGTAGCACACGTCGTTTAAAACTCAGCAGGTCTGACCAAGTGGGGCACTCAAACCAAAATAATCTTCCCTTTCTTAAAGCGCTTTAATGTGTTACGGTATACGTGTCCTGTGTTTTTACAGCTTTAAATGTCAATTCCTCTTTAGTCTTTTTTGTTTGCTTTGCTTTTGTAGAGGAAAAAAAAAGGTCGTAGGAGGGAGAGTTTGATCTACCAACAGTTTATTTTATAGAGAAAAGAAACTGTATATACATAAAAAAAAAAAAGTTGCCACTCAGGAGATTGTTCCGATGTTGTGAAACGTTCCGTGTCGCCGTTGACACAGATTCTGTTGCGTGAGGAATGAAAGCCAACTGGGTGTCCGAGACCTCGCCCGTTTTTGTAAATGTAACGCGGCAGCGTGCGGCCGAGCAGATGAAGGCGTCTGCTCGTCTGTGCCGGCTGTCACTGTTGGATGCCTGAAGGTCCTGCAGATGCATCTGTCCTCTCCCCTCAGGCTTCTTTTTGAGAAACTCTTTGGAAACTCAGAACCGGCGGCCCTGCTTTTTTTTTCTCCTTTTGTTTCAAACACTTTGATTTCCTTAATCTCCTGTTCAAAGTGCTTAGCCTCCCGGCGTCACGGCTGCCCGGTGATGAAACGTGATGAGAGAAGCTGCTGGTTAGCGACAGTAAATCACCTGGATGAGTCCTTTCTTTATAGAGGGTTACCTATTTATCGATTTAAACATTATTTCCGGCCGCCGGCCCGACCTCAATAGTAGTTTGCACTGTGTGCTTCAGGTTGTTTATGTAAAGGACATAATATATGACATATTGTTTTAGAGGCTTTGGAGCAGGACGCAGAACTGCCGGCTGCGTCAGAAATGTACTGTGGGTAGCAAAAAAAAGGTGGACGTCGGGAAAGCTGGTCGGTCACACCGAGGCAGTGACTCGTCATTTTGTCCCAAAAAACCCCAAAACAACCCCCAACTGCGTTGAGGTCCCACTTTGTGAGTCGCTCATTGAGCGGCGGTCTTTTCCTCTCTCTGCTCCTCCCAGCGCACGGATCCTACAGACAAATGGAAGAATGCAAAGCAATCATAATTCCAGACAGTATTGGTTTATTTATCAAAGTTGTACATACGTGAATGTATAGTGGCTATTTTGTCGTCTTTTTGTTTCTTGTTAGTCGCGCCATTTATTTTAGTATTCCATTTAATGTTTGATTTGAGGTTTGTATCATTGCCGTATAATCGAGCTGAAATAAAGCCCAATTTGTCCCAAACGCTGGCTGTGAATGTCTGTTTAAACTGCAGCTCTTGTTACAGTACTAACGTTCCTCCAGCAGGGGGCGGTATGTGATAACCACGGCATCTGAACTACCCTAAATTGAACTCTTTCTGTTTCCCCGCCTACTAATTACAGACATGCCCAATTAATCACAGATGAAATTACGGGTTATGTGGGGTCCCCATGAATATGGAGTACTGCTTTCACTGGAAATTGGATAATTCCCTCCCTGTTTCGTTTGCCAACGTTTGAATTATTCCAACCACATTTACCTGCTGTGACACAAATCTTTGTTTCAATCCAGACTATAAACAGGTCCCATAACCTTTTCATATATTTTTACGAGCTTGCCCTTAAAGTATTTGTGGCAGCAGGGAAAGGTCGATATTTACAAGTGAATGTGTATCATATTAAATGATGCCTGGAAAAGCAATCAATAGCAATGACTTTTTCTCAATGGAAGGTGGATGTTGGTTAGTGTCAACGGAACCTTGGATATTGTGGGATGTATTAAATGACCTTCTAAAAAACTCAATCTTGACCTCCGTGGAGTTTTTGTCTATTACCATAAAAAGAGTGATTGCCTCACGAGAGGCAGACACCCCGGTTGCCAAAACGTCGGTTCTTAAAAAGTTGTGACTCATGTTGTTTTCATTTCTGCATTTAACCTTTATATTTTCCATCAAGTTTCGAGCAGTCTGAACCCGCTGAGACAAACTTTTTCGGCATGTTTGGAAGTGATGTGAAGAAAAACCAAAACTTTTTAAGTGAAAATTGCCATTGAATATTCACAGTTAACGCTTCATTGCGCTTGACATTGACATGCGCTGTAGTGAGGCCCGTGGGTGGTGCTGAAAGCGTAGTTAGCACAGTGATGAAGTATATCGACGCTGTCTCGTGCACACCTGACACTTATCAAGTTGAGACGTGTTTAATCTCTTTTGAGAAGCCCTTTGATGTGTTAAAGATTGGAGTAGCTGTTTTCCCAGGAAAATCAGACCATGTCAGACATTTGAGAACTAAATGAATAGGTTTGTTTTCCGGCTGGGCCTTTGTCCGCATGGTTTGGGGGGAAATGTGGCCATATCACGAAGGGGTTTATTCCAGTGCATTTCAACGCTATAATAGACAGGTATTTGGTAAATTCTTGGTGTGCATCTGCGCATTCCGATATTAAATTTGTTTTGAGTCACAACTGAAGAGCGGGGCCAAGGAGGTGACTGACTGATGGGAAACGAGAGGCCCGTTGCCATGGAAAGAGGGAGGGGAAAAAAAAACACGGAAAAAAGTTTTGAGTGTGTGTTTGTGAGGTGGCGGGAGAAGAGCCGTCTTTGTTTTTCACCCTCGGCGCTCCTCTTGTATTTCGCTGTGCAGCCTGCATACACAGGCACATGCAAAGATGACGTGCTTTTACTTTTGTGTCAGGTTCAGGCTTTATTTGCGTGGTGAGAAACGAGGCGAGAGGGGAACGTCCGTAGGAGGGTCCCGCGCTCTGCACGGAGAAACCCAGATGAGCAGCCGTTGCAACCCATTTGGCATCAAGGTCACTGTGTTCTTTCTGAAACATAATAAGACGCTCTGTATAGCCCACCTGACCTCACTGCATCGAGACGGCCCCCCCGACCACACCACTCCCAGTGAGCACAAGACGTAATTTCAACGTTGAAATATGGTTGAAATCGGGTTGAAATCGGGTTGAAATGAGGTCTGAACGTCTAAGACCTCATTTCAACGTCATTTCAACCGGCTAAAAATGGGATGAAACATCAACGTGCCAGAAAACGTCAATTTGTTGATAAATGTGTCATGTTGTAACGTAAGGTTGAAAGATAGACGATATTAACGTCAAGATTTTCATAATTAATGAACTGGTCGGTGAAATTTGGTCTACGCGAAGACGTTATTTCAACGTATTTAATATTTCACTTAAAACGTCATAAATATGAAACTACGGACTGCGTGCTGTTAATAAGATGCGTTTAAGGCATAATGCGGGCAGGTTCAAACATTACTTAACTTAAAAACTCCGCTCACATCTGTAACGCGCATGCGCGAGTTCTTAGACGCCTGCTGAGCTCCGACCGGGTGCAGCACGAGGCGAAGTTACGGCAGCAGAGCGACATGAACCACGACTACCGGCTCCAATGCTCTGTAAGTACGGGAGTGTTTGGATGAAGCACACCTGGAACTATAACCGGGTGTTTTACTTGTGCTGCCCACCCGATACGGGAAAGACGGTCCTTTTTGTTAAGCTAGTTAGCGTTAGCGCAGGTAGTTTACTAGTTAGCATGCTAGCTTGGAGCATGATAGTGTGCAGCATGGTGACCTGGACCAAAAGTAAACATCCCAGAATATTTTTTGTGTGTTTGGTGTTGCTAATGCGTACCCATAAATATTATTGCATTTCACATTGAAAATACATTTTTAAAGCAATGGGGGCTAAATACATTGCAAGGGTGAAGGGCTGAATTCAACAAGTTGTGGTCTGTAAACAAGAGGGCCAACACATTGTAAGTTACTGCTGCTTAAAGCATGATACTGTGTAATATACCTGGAAATGTTACTCCAGAAATGCCATAAGTTGCAGATGAATTGTTATCTTGTTTATAATGTTATAAGTAAACAATCTATAAATTTGTGTTATTATAATTAATAACACACCTGCTGCTGTTATTATTAGTTTATTACTGTCATAAACCCAAATGACCAGATTTGTCTTTTCCTTGAAGTGCTTTCCCTCCTCACAGGTTTCTGTGGTTGGTGGTTGCATCTGACGGAGGTTACATCTGATGGAGGTTGTGCCTGCAGTGGTCCTGCCTTACACCTGGCTTACTACTCTCAATATTAGAATCATTTCTGTCAAAGGATTTGAAAGCACTGTACATCTTTAAGTCGTTCATACTCTACACACCTACGTTGAAAAGACGTTCACGTATAGACCCGTTTTCTATGGAATGCCGTTTTAGTCAAAATTAAATAAATTAATAAATACATGAAATATGCATTTGAAATACATCATAAAATAAAATGAGGCAATAAATACATAAATATTTTATAAATATATTTATTTCATAATGCCACTTTTCATTTCATGGTACTTTTATTTCATAATGCCTTTTTTCATTTCCAGAGTCTTATATTTATACTACTTTTATTTCATAATGCCTTTTTTTATTTCCAGAGTCTTATATTTCATAATGCCACTTTTCATTTCCAGTCTTTTATTTCATAATGCCGTTTTTCATTTCCAGAGTCTTATTTCATAATGCCGTTTTACATTTCACGTTCTTATATGCAAATCAGGGGGCGTGGCTACATCTAACAATCAGAACAGACAACAGAGCCGTGTGCAAAAGAAGTGACTAAAACGGCATTCCATAGTTTTCAACGTGATTTATAATATCGGTGGTAAACTTACAAATGTGGACGTAGTTTCTTTTTAAACCTCTAAAATAATGATATAGCACACAAGAGGGGACGAAATATTACCGTATAAAAATCACGTTGAAATGTGGTCTAAACATGGACGTCTTTTCAACGTCTACGAATAGACGTCTTTTAAACATCTTTTCAACCAAAAAATGCTCCCTGGGCTCAGTCAGTGGTGTCGGGTCGAGCCTGCCTGCTGAATTCACTGCTGTGCGGTCATGCTGATGACGGGAGAACGGCACCGGTCTCACAGGCCGGGCAGTGGGATCCTCCGCTAAGTGGAGACATGTGAGGCTCCAATTAGGCCCAGGCTGTTTCCCAGAAGCGCTGAAGGCCTCCCCCTGCCTCTCTGCCCCCCCCACCCCGCCGGGTGGAGGGGAAACACCCCGCCGTGTCCTGACCTGACCTCAGCCGAAGAGGGGGCACTCGCTTTTTGGCTCGGGCCACACGCGGGCCGGTGCACGCACACATTTGGGATTCTCAAAGGGGGGGGGGGGATGAATTGCGTCGTATCGTGTGAGCCATGATTGTTGTTCTCCCTTAACAAAACGGTCATGTTTATACACAAATGTGACAAGCCTACACACAGACAGACTGGAGCCAAGTGCACATCAGAACTGTTTGAGATGCTGTGTGCCGGAGTGTTTTAGGTACACTTAAGGAGCTGTGTGGACAGATGCAACAATGCTTTACTGGAAAAAATAAATCACTTCAGGAATCTACTGCTCAGAAGAAGAATTTCTTCCTCTGGGAAGGAATTCTGAGAAAGGGACTTAAAGAGAAAACCAAAACAAATCCTCGCCCTTCCCCCTTTGGCTCTCCAATGACATCAGCTAGCTATTTTTTTCACTCCCGCTGCTTCACACACGCTCCTATAACCATGCAAACCCCATTTGTACTGTGTATCACAGCATCGTAGCCGGAGGGGGTGAGCTGGTGAAACACTGATAGGCAGTCAAATTTTGGGCTCAGTGCTGGCATGTGGAATTTATGCTGATTTGTTTTCAGGGAATTTCCCCACAAACATACTGTAGTGTAAGTTAAACATATTGCCCACAAGCAGATCCCTTCATTAAAACAAGCTGAAGCCCAAAAGGAAATGAAGATCTATGGCGTCTGTTCTTAATAACGTGACTGGATTGTACCTCGGGAGGTTAAAGTGGTTGAAAAAGGGCAGCAGCTGTCTTTGGCGAATAGATAACGTTGTTCAGGACGTCGAATGCCGAGCCGTCTTTTTTTTTTCCTTTACTTGGGTGACACGGTGACCTAGATATGAGATTGTTCAGGTAATAAAAGAGAATGGAGATCAAATCAGGTTATATCACACCTCCCTGCTACAATTTTAACCAAAAGCGTAAACTCTGATTCAAGATGCAGTGTGCTGAAAATAAAAGAAAATACTGGACCTGATTTAGCCGATAGACAATGCGTTTAGTGTAGATTACTGAATCAAGAGAGGCACATCTATGAGATTTACTGGAAAAGAAAAATCTACTTTTTCTTTATGTGCAATAATTTTGCCAGTGAACTTGCTGATGCAAGGCTGCCGAATAACTGTGTGAACAAGACAAAAGGTTGTTTGTCCCGGGCGGATTGTGGTAGTTCTTTCCTGCACATTCATTGAACAGTGGGTGGCTCATATTCTGGGAAACTTTTTCAATGTGTGGCAAAAAGCGGCAAATGTCTTCCTGTGAGTCTTTTATGATTTATCTCAAGAGCCAAAGGATATGTATATCATCTCACGTTGATTGCAGTATTTTGTACAGCTACAGTAAGTGATTACAGGCGTAGCGGAAACAAGATTGTGCGCCGCTGTAGATTGATAAGACGGAGCAATCTCTCGAAATGTATATTGTTTTGTTTTTTGCATGCATGTCTGAGATCGGGACAGACTGTACTGTCCATGCGAGATTTCTAGTAAAAGATGGAAGAGGAGGCCGTGGATTGGAGAGCCTCCAAATGATAGGGACCGCCTTACTAGAAGGGGCCAAAAAGAAATGCCTC